CGCACCACTGGCGGCGGAGATGTCTGTGGTTCTGCGTCAAGGGTAGACGAAGCAATGGACGTATTTTGGACAGACAGCTCTGCTGTAAACGGCGCCGAATGGTACGCGCAGACACTGGGATGATGCGTTATAGACAGAATGTGTTGTGCTATGGTTCGTGATGTGACTGAGCGATCCGTCACTGCCATGCGCACAATGTTCCTGTCATCACGTAAAGTGGTGCACTGAGGTAGATGCGATCGAAAACGTAAGTTCGTCGTACCCTCCTGCATCCAACGGTCACATATCCGCATTAAAGTTGTTTGGTTTCGTCGAACACGACTACCTATTTCCCTGAAAGATAATCCACACTGTCGGTAGGCCACTATCCTTCCTCTGTCGAACTCGGATACTTGATCAAATGATGATCGCTGTTTACTACCGAGGCATAATTGATCTTTTTTTTTATTTTATTTTTTTTTTTTGAAAAAAATCCGCAAAAAAAAACACAATTACCGAAATTGAAATCGTCGAAAACTCCAAGCCTTAAATAGCGCTTTGAAGTGGCGCCACAGGCGCGCGTAATGTGCGTCCGCACTGAAATTCTAATTATTTGCATATCTCACCTCCGCTAATGCATGTTGTAAATTTCATGTTATTTTCATGCTTCCTTGAGGGTGTTGCATTTACGGTGGCCAGCAGTGTATTTATGCCTTATAGAAGATCTAAACTAATAGTTGTTTTCTGTTAACAAAAGAAATCCTTGCGGATTTTTGCTTTTAAGAATAAAAATGAAAACTGAAATATTCAGCATTTATTTTCTGCATTAATTGGAAAAATGTATGGCTTTAAAATTTTGAAACAGCGTACAGATTTAAGGCAGTTTTGCTGAGTGTTTTGACTGGCCGTGAAGAATGATACAAAACAAAAAATGTATAAGCCGTTTCTAATGTGTTTTTGAAATATTTAAGTATTTTTAGGCTTTCAAAATTTAATTGCCATCTTTATAGTATGCTTTATATATTCTATTATTTTATTACGTGTAAACTTACTATATTTATTAATCCTTTATATTAACACGGTTTCTGAAATTATTCAGGACGTACCTTCCGGAATTTTCTCGTAATGTTAAGCTACCTTATTGTGCTTTATGATCCATATTCTGCATATTTGTTTCTAAATTAACAAATGCATACTGAGCAGAGGAAACATCTGATTACCGATACTGTTGCACTGGTGTCTCTGTTCCTTTAAATGTATATGAAAAACTTAGTTGGCTGAGAAGAAAGTTGGTTGATTAATTGGCTTTTTGACTATATAGTATACCAAGCTTATCTGTCAAAAGGGAGGGATGACTTTGTAGTGGACATTTTTAGGGAAACTGGCTCATATTCATGTTACACATGCGAAAAGCTAGAAAACCAGCCATGCATCCAGCTTGTCCGCCTGGGTTTGAACCCGGGACGAACTCCCAGTATTCAATGATCTTTAACCGCCTTACCACTGGTGGGGCGACCAGAAAGCTATAGAAATTGTTCATGTATCGATCTGAGGCTTGCAGGGAGTATAGAAAAATCTTTATCCTTTCATTCCTTGAGAGATAAACTTAAGATCACGCTGATGGAACTGAAGGGAAGAGGAAATGATGGGACACAAATAATATTCCATTTTTTCTCCTTTTTATTATTTTTTTACTATTCATTATCCTTAATTCATGTCTATTATTCGCATAGTATAAGATAGGGTGGTCTGTAATTCCCAATATCGAATCTCCGATGTTTCAATTAACGTTCCATTATTACTGACTGAACCTTTAAGTTTCCAGTATACTTCTTTTCTTTTCAGTTTTACAAGGTGAAGCTACATGTGCTATTTATGCTTATGTATGCTCTGTATTTGCCATATAATTATTTCATTGCAGTGCTCCTATTTTTAGTTTTAAAAATATATTTGATTTGGTTTAACTCTTTTTGAGAGGAAGATAATTTTAAGCTTTTTTCTTTGTAAGTTGTAGAGTCAAGTTATTTTGAAGCAGACGTGAAAAATGAGCAATACCCTCGACGTGACTCGAACCTGCACCTCTCGAATACCGTTACACCTGGAAGGAGGGAGAAAATACCTTTTATACTCCCCTTTTTAAAGGGTGACTGGGGATTAGGGGACCCAGTCGCCAAATCCTGGTGGTGAGGAATCATCATCCAGCACCTTTTAGTTCGGGCGCCACTGTAGAGTCATTAGGTTTTTTGAAGCAGGAGTTGTAAAAAATGTGCAATGACCTTGCCGGGACTCGAGCCTGGACCTCTGGAATACGCGCCAAGTGTGCTAGCCGTTACACCACGAAGGCATGCTGGAAGAAGGCAGGAAATAACTTTGCATCTTCATTTTATTCTATTTCAATTCATGAAAGGTTTTTTTTGCGTGTTCGTACAGCAGAGAAAACTTGCAAATAACACTTTTCCATTAGCAGCACCATCTCAGGAAGCCTTATAGCCAACCTGCGAATTGTTGTTAAATGTTGTTGCCATTCGAAAAGAAAAGTCGCTAAAAGCCATTTTGAAAATTTAGGGTATGGATGATAACTGGAAATATTATATTGTTACGGATTTCGTATTTAAATAGCTAATGTTAGTTGAATTATAAATTAAATTGTTTTATTCCCCGCGCAGTGCAGCGCGTGACGAATATTAAAGGAAAGCTAAGCTGGAAAGTTAAAAATACAAGAGCATGTGCATTTCAAGATTTAATAAATAAATATCTCTTTTTGATTTCGAGAAAGTTCCAGAAAGTTCTCGCGCGCGATTTAAAAATTTTATAAAAGGAGGAAAACCTCTCAATTCGTAGTTAGTTACTTAGTTTGTTGTTGTTTTAAGAGTTTGTTTAGAAAACTGCTCTTGTTGATTGTAGCGAATTCGCGGATTAGCTTTCTTTAGCTGTTTTGAATTAAGTTCTCTTGAACGTTTGAGTAGTTAGAAGAAAACTACTGTGATATATTGTGATACTGCACGATTATTTGAGGACATTTAATCATATTTGTTCTGATAATAATAAATTTTCTTCATTTTTCATCAGACTTGTGCATTCATTTCGTAACGAGCCCGTACGCACGCAACAATATAGACCTTTTGCAATGCTTGTTATTGAAGGATACAAGGAATTTTTCCTGTTACAAACACTACATCTTCATAACTACGTCCATTCATAAAAGTTGCATAGCTTTTATGCAGGTAGGTCGGCAAGTAATTATTATTGCAACGAAGGGGAAAGAATTCCTTCGTAGTTTCATTCACTGATCAGTAAAATGGAACTATGAATAATAGTTTTTTTTTTTTTTTTTTTTTTTTTTTTTTCACTCTCAAAAGCCATAAAGTATTCTGAGATACGATTTATTGCCAAATTTAGCACGTCTGGATTTAGTCCAAGGAGAAAAAATCTTAAACTTTTTAGATTTTAAAGGTCGCCCAAAACGGATTGTTAAGGTTTTTTACGCTCTCGCTAAGCTCGCAGTCTACCACTCTCTTCTTGCATTCACTCCTGCAATCCCCCCCTTTTTTTTTTTTTTTGTCTTTTTAGCTTTATTATTCAGCAACGTTTCCTTTTGCATTTACCCCACAAATATTACGCGTTTACGCCATAATTCAACAGCAAATCACGAAATTCTTAAGCGCACGGTGTTACGTTTTATGTTTAGAATCCCCAATGCAATGTTAACTATTAGCATAAAATTCTTTCTTTTTTTTAGTCTTTTTGTCACTTACATAACATTAAATTCAGCAGCAAAATCGCACAAAATCTTTAAAAACAGCAGATCTTTAGAATTCCCGACAGAATGTTAGAGGTTGCCATACGTATATTTATATTCACTATATTATTTCTATAAAAAGTTGCCGCCTAAAACTGTTCTCATAAGAAAGGAAAAAATTATAATGATTTTAATGAGTTAAGCTAGTGTAATTTCATAAAAATATTGACTATTTCTAATCAGGCATCTCATGATTTGATACATGTTTATTTAAATAAATCACATTAAAAGTAGAAAAAAGTGTCCTTAAGAACTGTGTTTATCGCTTAGTTTATTACTCAATAGACTATCAGATTAAATGTGAGAGTGTTCTAGGCTTTACTGAATGGCAACACCCTGGCGGATGGAAGATAAAAGTATTTTATTTCCGGTCGCGGCAACACTTTGCTTTCGTAGAGCCAAGTTTACTAATTAAAATTTAAAGATATATGTCTTATATTTCTCCAAATGGCAACAGTCTCGCGCATTGGGGATAAAAATGTTTTATTTAGAACAGTGTTGCCACTGCTCGCTTTCAGATAGTTGAGTTTGTTAATCAAAATTTTATTAATATTTATGAAAATATGAAATAATTAATAAAAAATTTGAAATTCAGAATTCGTTCGTCTCCTAGGTGCACATGTTCACCTAGGATTACATTGTTCAAAATTTGATAGGTCTAGGTACCGTTGTTTTTTCACAGTGCGAGGAACATACATACACACATGCATATTCTTCATTATTTAATTTCTTAAAAAAATAACGCGGGCTGATAATATTTGTTGGCAACAATTTGAAATGTGATACGACATTTATAGAAACCAGGAAGGTTAAAATACTTCCATTTCATCATCATCATCCAAAATACCATATCCATACCTCCATCAATCTAACCTCCATGATCAAAATTTTATTAATATTTATGAAAATATGAAATAATTAATAAAAATTTTGAAATTCAGAATTCATTCGTCTCCTAGGTGCACATGTTCACCTAGGACTACATTGTTCAAAATTTGATAGGTCTAGGTACCGTTGTTTTTTCACAATGCGAGGAACATGCATACACACATGCAGATTCTTCATTATTTAATTTCATCTCTTTTCGAGACTTGTTGTCCCTTTTGGGATAACAAATTTGGATGTTATAAAACGAGTAAAATGCATTACATTATCCTCGTGTAAAGAAAAGTATTTTGCCTTTCATAAATGGCAGCGGTTGAATGTTTTATAACTGGACGTAATGGATGCTACTTGTAGACCTCATCAGTTTTCACCGGAATTGTTTGCGTATGCGGAATCCAAGAGAATATTTGAAATTTTTCAGGTAAATTATAATATAACTAATTGATATGTATATGTTGTAACAAAGAAAAACTTTTGAAATAAATTTATATTGTAGGAGCATTTTACATTTATGTGGGATAACGTTTCTAACAAGAAATATTTATAATGCAATTCTCTTTCGATATAAATAACATTAACATTGTATGAATTTTTATCGAAAGGGAGTTGATAAATGACTGACTTTTTTAAACACTGAAATGAGTAGCTGTTTGGAAAACGTTTAGTTTGAAATGATTTAAAGGATTTTAAAATAATGTTAGTATCAATTTGACTTTTAATCTGTGGATTAAGTCGTTTATGATTAAATGATGAAATTCTCAAAGACTTGACTAAAATAAATATCACGTTTAAATAAGTGAAAAAAACTGTGAAATGCATTTGATTCATCTGTAAGATCCATGTAACAACTTAAGTATACTAATAACTTAAAAATAATAGGAAATACCTGATTTTTATAAGTAGAACCAATTTATTTCTAATTATGAATTTTTTATTTTTTACTGCCTTTGAAATAAATTTTTTAATAATTTTTAAGTGTAGTTCTCTAACTTATCAAGTCAGTAGTTCTCATTTTAATAATGTGTATACATTGCGTCTTTAAATTCCCACTTTCGTCTGCCTGGGCTACTGCCCGAAAAATAAACAAAAATTAAATGTTCTTCAAAACATCTTACGTAGAATAGTGAACGCACCCTGGTTCGTGCGAAATTTTCAAATTCACAAAGATCTGGATATCAACCCAATTCACGACCAAATCCTAATTTCTGCACACAACTTCTTTGAAGATATGAGAAATTCTCCCTATGAAGCTATTAAATCGCTTACAGACTATGACCCTACTATTGAGCACGTAATGAAGAGACCCCGAACGATCCGCCACAATTCTAAGTGGTGGTAGTGTATAAATTGTAAAATTTTTACTTTACTATTACTCTTCAGTTACTATTCAAGAAAGATAAATTTTGCAAAGTTATTTTTCATCGATGAATTCTTCGTTTTACTACTTATTTAACCAAGGTTTTTACTTTTACTTTTTATTTTTACTATTTCGTATCGTGTGTTTTAAAATCAAAGTTCGTGGTCAACACCAAATGCTTACTCTCACTCATTAGCCCTAGTAAGCCACATGACCTCGTTTTCGCCTTTTACAGTTTCCTATTCATCTAATGATTATATCGCAAGTTTAGATGATTTTCAGGTGTTTCAAAAGACATAGGACTCTTAAATTCACAGATAGATGTTGCTTTTACTATTTTCGAACATTATTTATTTCCAAAAACTACAAAAAACTTCATTTTTCGAACTCTGACTCCTCGATAATGCCGGACGCTGATCACGTGTTTCTGCTCTTCTAGACTCACCCAGAAGCTTAGACTTTCATTTCGCCTCTCGCCGCCATTGAAAACTTATTTTATGAGTTCTCTCATTTATTGATCTGGCCTTCGGGCGCGGTGTATTTTTAAGTACACCTCTTAAATTTTTAACTTTATGGCCTATGGTATAATGATAATATAATGGTAAGAGCTCCTATTAGTTAAAGCCAGCAGTAAAGATATGATCCGAGATCCACTTTCGTCACATTTCCTCTTATATATTTTTTTCAATAGATGGCGCTAAATGTCCGTTATATTCAAGATGACTGAGAGAGATTAACGTACTCGTTGCAGAAAAATATGATTTCGAGTATCTTCAAAAAACAGAACTCTTTCATTTGAAATTAATATGACATTATAATTAAATTTGCCTATTTTCCTAGCTTATATTCAATTTCTAATCCAAATTGGAACGAGTCGTTTCAATGCAATAAAAGGAATTTTAAAATTATTCATACTCGATCCAATAACAGTGCTAAATGCACTGTGATACTGCAGTAAAATTATAGATTTCCATAACCGATATTATGCGCTATTAGAAACACTTCAGGTTTCAAATTTATATTAACTTTAACGGGTTTAGTTTCTTAATAGTAATTAAAAGTATGCCATTATTCTTTGAGGTGCTTGGTGTCGCCATCTATTAGTAATACAAGAACTTAAAATCAGTCGGCACAGTGATCTGCGAGTTTGTAAAATCTGATTGCTGACAATTAGCATTTGTTCCTAAATTTTTTAAAAACTAAAATCAGCTTTCGTAAGTTAAACAAAACCTGTAAAATTTATTGCATTAATAATGTTATTTAAAGTTTTAGGAATGTGTAGCCCGCATTAAGAAACTAAAAGTCCATCTTTTTATATGATGTTAATTAATAATTAATGATTCATATAAAATTTGAAAAATGTTTATTTCATACATATATGATATTACACACATCTTTATTCTTTAACTTGTATACTTATTCTGGAAACCACTACTTACTAGTGAGGTTTTGTTTATTTTGCTCTGGTAGAAATTTCTTGGTGATCGTGTTGTAGATTCAATCGTATTGTAGATCAAAGCTGTTGTTCCTTAGCGCTTTTTTGAAAACTGTGAATGCTTCAGAAATTTCTCTACAGTTCTTACAGGGAAATTTCACATTCATATATAATTTGAAACTGAGGTTAAGTCACGAATACCACGATTTGTATATAAGGAAAACTTCGAGAACAACAAAGAACAACAAACTTCTACGAAAATGGCGACGTCACTTGTCAAAACTGAAGAATTGTTATGTGCATAATTACCTGAAGACCTGCTGTACTGTTAGTTGCCAGAACCTGGCGCATTCTGGAAATTTGGCGGGTTTTACTAGACGTTGCAATAACACGTAAACACCAGAGGCAAGCTAGCGCGGTAAGAAGTGGGCAGTTTGCTACGGGGGGGGGCGCACCATTGGTGGAGGCATTTTCCGAGTAAAAAATTGTTTTATAGGAATTAATAATATAGATCGTTGAGGTAGGGGAAGAATAACGAGATTCTAACCCGGCATACGGATTTTAATTTTAAATAAAAATCGTTTTTATAGTATTGAAAGAAATCAGTACGAGATTTCGACAGCTAGTATGTACTCTTATTATGTGAAACTTTTGAATGTGCACTACGAATATCAACTGAATGATGATCGTGGTAACATTAATAGGAAAAAGTTCCTCTTTAATACAGAAATATTTCAGAGTTGTTTTTCCGTTATTGCTAGGGAAAATGAAACAGGGATGTGGAAATACCGTTGTTTTGGACTTCTGTAGTCTATTCTAAAATGTAATACCAAGAACAAACTTCCAAATATTGCAACATTACAATGAGGTTTCCTCTTAACTGCTGTGAGGAGTTATTTTCTAAATAAAAACTATTAAGTATTTAAGACTTTAAAACATGCATTTTTCATTCAAGATATCTCTCTGTGTTCTTTACCTAACAACCGCTGGATCAATCAAGGAGATCTCTACAGGATCATCATCGATGATTTAGCGGGGTAGGGGGAAGCAAAATAATAATATAATTTTAAAATGTTTGAATTAAAGTTTTACCTCAAGAACAAATCAAAAAAAAAAAAAAAAAGTTTTACCTCAAGAATTTTGATTTATTTTCTTACGTATCATTTTGAGTTTTTAAAAATATTTGCTTGAATATCAAATGAAGCAACAAGTTCAGAGGGCAAAAGATATAATGTTGTATGATCCTAAGTTCATTTAGTGCGAATACGACAATGGTAAGAATCACTAAGGCAAATCGCAAATAATAATTGCAGGTAAATCAAATTTAAGGGCTTTGTCTTTTTCTATGTCAACTACCTAATTTCGAAATTTGGCTGCGATTTTTGGCTCGAGACTCATGAAACTTTGTCAACTATATTTCAGGATAGATATAAATGCATATAAAACGAATGACAGTCGAAATTTCTCTCGAATTTCAACTCTGATTTGCAGAACCATTAGAATAAGAACTTCCCAACGGGGCCAATATTAACCTCCTGGTAGTCGTGGGCTAACCCGAAACGACATAAAGGAACAGTTTTTTTTTTTTTTTTTTTTTTTTTTTTTTTAATTTCATTCTACGAATTAAAGTAAGTACTGTAATCACGAAAAATTCCGGGTACCATATTTAAACGAAAATATCCATTTTGACCCCTATGGAATACAATTTAACGATGTTTTTGCGTGACACCTGTCCATATGGACAGAATAAAAGGACTCCTTTTTCCCTAAACTAATTATAAAATATTTAAAATGGTTTCAGAAGAAATTTTCTCGTGGCATCTGTACGTATGTATGTATATCGCATAACTCAAAAAAGAGTAGCCTCAGAACGTTGAAATTTTGTATGTGGAACTGCTATAACATGTACATGTGCACCTCCCTTTTCGGTTGCAATCGGACTCACCAAAAGTATATAAATAAATATGTATATATATAACACAGTGGATATATTCGACTCAGTGAGCGCAGTTTCTTTATTCTTATATGTTTGTAAACGTGTATTTTTTTACTTTAAAAATGATCGAATTGTGTTGTTCTTATCTTCCGGTTAAGGTTTTGTTGCCTTTACTTAACTTACATGCAATAATTGTGGAATTACCAACAATTTAAAAGTTTTTTAAGTGCGGCTAAGCCTACTTTCTGTTTAGCATAGCAGCCATGTTTGTTTACATTTTAAACTTAGCAGAACAGTGGATTTGTTGCTAATCTAGAGAAACTAAGCTTCGGAACAACAAAGTAACGTCTTCTGTTATTATTTAGAATTAAATTATGCTTAATCCATTCAGAAATTATCATTCAAGTTATTAAATTATCCCATATATTGACTCAGCATAGCATCCACAATAAATTAAATCAATTTCTGTGCCTTCAGTGTCTTTTTGCCGAGTGAGACCAAAAGTAAACTTTTAGTTTTGTGCACAAAAATCTGTCTTCTTGCCCGCTGACCGAATTGCTTGTTTTTGTGTAGAAACTGTAATTTTAATTTTAATTTTTTTTTTTTAAATTGCTTTAACTGTATTTTTTGTTTTATGTTTTTCTACATCTTTCAATCTTTCTACATCTTCAAACATTTGAAACTTATAGCTGAATAGTGCATTAAGTCAGTTTCTGCACCATCAACGCTTTTTTGCCGAGTTGGACCAAAACTAAACTTTCAGTTTTGTGCACCGAAAAATCTGCCTGGTTGCCTGCTGGCCGAATTGCTTGTTTCTGCGTAGAAACTCTAATTTTTATTGTAAAAACTGTTTTTAATTGTTTTCACTATATTTGGTGTTTTATATTTTTCTATATTTTTCAATTTTTGATGAAGATATTTTAAGTTTTTATGCATTTTTGCCTTGCCGCGAAGTGAGAATTGAATTAATTGAATACGAACCATATCTCTAATGAAATTCGAGGAAATAAGTGTAAATGAAACGCAGCAAAAAATGGGTATTAATTTAATATTCCGTGATAGGAAGTCATATGATGTATACATCAGATTTTTGTTTACAAGTATAAAGTCTCTGAGCGTTCCCAAATCTTAAATAAATTTATCAAATCATACGAAATTTCTCTTAAAAATTGAATAAAACTTACAAATAGTAATAAATAAAGGATATTTTAATTAGAGCTAATATGTATGTCTAATGTGATTTCATCTTCCAATGAAGAAAGAACGAACACTCAAGCCACAAATGAAATAATAGCAGTGGCGATGGTGCCCGAAATCGTCGAAGATTACGTAGTGGGAAATACAAAGTTTAGTCTAGGACATACTAACGGGGTGGGTATGGTGCCCTGGTGGTCGATGAAACTGATGCACCGGCAATTTATCAGCGTAGTAAGGATCCCATTGATTACAAACAATGATAATAATAATTAATAAAACTGTAAATTAATTTTTTATTTATATACAGATGTGTCACATAACGAATAAATGGTATAAAATAAATATAAGAAAAAAATAGCTACTAAAATAATTTAATATGTTTAAAAAATTAACATCATTTTTTTAACACATGCATTTTTTATGCATTAACTGTAATATTAAAAAGTGAACAGAAAAAAGTGGATCAAAAATGTCTGATGGGAACAAGACATGACGTTCTTATGCGGCCTGTTAAATTATACAATTCTTTTGCTGCACTTCATTTAAACGTATTTCCTCGAATTATTCTAACTTGGTTAACTGATTCCTCAAGGCAAGTTGAAAATGACATCAAGAACTGCAAATTATGGAGTTAAATGTGCCGGTCAAGTTTTGTCATACGCGAGTCAAATTTTTTGCATTTTATTTTTTTTCCGAACTTTTCCAAATATAAATATGGGAAACGGGAGATCAAATTAAAAGATATATTTCGTCATTTGTTGAAAATGAAATTCTTTTTTTAAAATTTTAGATTGCTAAAACATGAATATTTTCGTCATTTAAAACACTTCTTTGATTGGAAATGTTACCAAGGATTGCGAAAATAAAGGCCAGTTAAGGGCTTTGAAGCCGGGTAAGGGAATGTGTATAATATATATATATATATATATATAATTAATAACTAGGTGGTAAGTACAATAATATATATATATATTCTCTTGCGCCACTGCTGCAAGGAATGAGATTTGAATTCAACAAATTTTCTCTATTTGTATAAAGTTAATTTAAAGCTAATTAAAATTTAAATTTAAAATTATGAAAATTTAATTGCTGTATATTCATAAAAGATTATACTTAATGCTCTCTAATATATATATATGGTGCCGCCGATTGCAGTAAAAATGGGAGATGTACACCTAGATGTTATAGAAGATATAAAAAATTTCAGCTTTTTTTTTACAGCTAATCCTTTTTGAATTGTGTGAGATACATACATACGTACAGACGTCACAGAAAAATCTCTTTTGAATCCATTTTACAATATGTTTTGGAAAAATGATTCCTTTATTCCGTTTGTTATTATGAATATCAATAATAATTATCAGTAATTCTAAGAATAAAGGTAAAATGTTTACCTTTTCAGAAGATCTTCTTTCATATAATCCAAATAATCCGGGTATGTTTTATTAACTGATGATAATCGATCTACTCATCACAAAAGAAAACACTTCTACAATGTAACATATTTTAATACACAACACTAACAGATTATGCAGATTATTATATATTATTAATATATTATTATAATTATACTGACAGATATACACATTCCAAAAGAGAATTTATGGATTGCATGTTGCATTTATACGTTCATTATTAGTTCTATTAAAGTTCAGTTTCTTTTTAAGCTACGCGTACGCTCAAATCATGTGGTCTTAATCGTTTGGCAAGAGTTTAAACGGCGAGAGTTTCAACACCGTTAATGCGTACACGCGTTTCGGGAAGGGGGTAGAAGATTGTTTAAATGGATTCGGGAACAATATATATTCGGGAACGATAAGTGATATTTCTGTTGAAATATGATACCCGAGATTTTTCGCGATTTCAAGATTTCCTTTACTTTGTTCAAGGAAGTAAAAATATTAAAAATATAAAACCAGAATGAAAACCAGTTGTATATTTTTTAAATAAATTAAAGCAATTTTATGCCAAATAGGAAAAAAAAACTGCATCATTACATTACATACAGCGCAGCCATCGCGTTAACTAAAATCGAACTTTTGTGCAATACGAAAGCAAAACGATCTCACAACAATTTATGCTTTGATTCATTTAATCTTAAACTGCGTATTAGAAAATTTCGATATTCATGTATCCCTCTAACAATTATTATACTTCAGTATTTTTATATCTGTAAAATTGCATGTTACTTAAAATGCTTAAATAAATAAAGAAGATTTATTGGAAATTGTGTTTCAGAATATGATGGAACGTCTCACTATAGAAAGACCCGAAAATCCTATTGATTTCCTTTACGGTTTGCTATTGAAAGGAGCTGTCTACGACGGTAAGCTGATAGATGAGAATATAGTAATAAAAAAGACAAAAATCTTTGGCATAATCTTTAAAATTCCATACTGATTGAGTAAATGAACAGTGTTTTGAACTTAACGTAAATTTAGAGTGTGTCAAGTTTTGCTTTGTAAAAAATTTATAATTAAACATATCGTTGATAGTATGGCTCTTAAAGATCTCTTTAAACAGATGAATAGGAGTCTTGTTAAGATAAATAGGAAATGCTAAGATATTGAGATAAAGGTATGAGTCTTGCTAACATAATGATAAGATAAAGGATATGGGTCTTTTTAAGATGAATATGATAAATAGAAAATATGCAGGAAAATAAATGTAAACAGAACATGGCGAAATTCTACTTAACAAGTGAAAAATATTGCAGATCAAGAGAATCACTCACAGACAAAATCGGGAGCCCTGATCAATCGAGTAGAAGCTCAACACATAAAACACATCACGACTCTTGATGACTTTAACTGATTTACGGCCGCTCCTAGCTTCTTATTTATACGGTTGGTCAAGTGGGAGGAGTGAGCACTTCTGGAAGCTTAAAATATCACTCCTAGGGCTTCAAAAATGGGCCCTCCTAAACCTTCTAGAATGTCGCCAAGTTGGTGAGAAAACTTAAATGTTGCCAATTTTTGGTAAATATGTTTTTGTCATATCTTCAGCTATTTTTCATACAATTCAACTATCTGTAGAATTAGATTTTTCCCAATGCCGGAAACATTCACGCATTACGTTACATAGCTTTACTGTCTTGCTCCTTTTCCTGCCATAATGCAAATTTTAGTGTAAACAGAGAGACAGAGAGAGAGTACTTAAAAGAAAATTCCTGATTGTTTAATCAGAGCGTGTTCCGCCTGCTGAATTTCACGTTATTTGCGCCTTACTGCGTGAAATAAATATTTACAAGTGTAAGAAGCGGCTAAAATTCAAATAAAAAAAAGAGAAATATTTTCTTTTTTTTTTTATTTTACGCCCAAAATGCGTTTTTCGACTTTTTGTGTTTTACCTTTATTTATTAAATATCATGTTAAAATCACATGAAATTCAACTCAACAGCAACATCACAAATACTTAAAAACGGCAAAACAGCATATCTTTAGAATTTCCGATACAGTCTCGCGCGCTGCAGGTAAAAATGTTTTTTTCTTTTCGTACATTGTTGTCTTTGCTCGTTTTGAAAATCTTTGAGTTTGTTAATAAAAAATTTGTTAAAGTTTTACGAAACTTGATGATAAAACAAATTCGAAATTCCAAAGTCGGGCTTCCAGGTGCCTTTGCTCAGTTGGAGGACTGTGTTATTCAAAATTTGATGGCTCTAGACACCGCTGTTTTTTCACAATGCCAGAAACATTCATGCATTACGTTAAATAGCTTTACTGTCTTGCTCCTTTTCCGTTTTCCTGCCATAATGCAAATTTTAGTTATCGCGTATTCAAATGATGTAAACAGACAGAGTACTTAAAAGAAGATTTCCGATTGTTTAATCAGAGCGTGTTCCGCCTGATGAATTTCACGTTATTTGTTTAAGCCAAATTGCGCGTTATTCATTCTGTGTAGCCTTTGTCTAATTTACCACTTAGCTTTAATTTGAATTCATTACTTTTTGAGTTACGCCATAAATGCTGGCTGGTTTTGCAAGCTCAAGAAGTGCCTTCTGTTAAATAATTGAGTTTTAAGTGAAGGATATTTTACACTCTTCTAATATTCTCTGTCTTATTACTGTAGATAGCGATAAGTCGCTTGGATTCAGCTTGGAATCTCGAATTAATTTATGCTTCCAAAGATGGTGAGTATTACGTATTTCCAGCGTCATTCTGACTAGAGGGCGCTGCGTTCGTCCTAATAGTCAGTGGCAGGCAGGATACTAAAGGTGTAAGACGTGGAAGGCAGAGATGCCTAATAATATATCTCTAATTGATTGAAATTTTCGTATATTTTCTTGTAAATAAATGTTGTTATTGTTAACAAAACCTCTTATTATCTCTTGGATGCACCTTTAGTCTCACAGAACCATTAGATGCAAAATTGGTGCATCTTGTCCGCGAATGTGGAATATCGGAAGCAATTAGTCATCATTACTGGATTATATTTCTGAGAAGTTTGGATACTTTACGCACGCTTTTGGATACGTAACATTGCATACTGGACTGTGGAGGTAAGATCTTTTGAACTCACAAATTCTGAGTTAATATGGATAAGCTTTCGAAAATAATTGAAAAAAGAAGTAACGTTCGCGCTAGTGTTACTAAACTAGTTAAAAGAGTGCAGAAGCTTGATGAAGCCGTCGAAGACGTAAGTTCATTATCAGAACTACTGGAACTATTAGAAACGAAAGAGCAGATCTTGAAAAGCCATGATTTAGAGGTGGAAGCACTCATAGACGATCCGGAAAAATTTAAAGGTGAATTAAAGGCTTCGGAAGAATACGATGACAAAATATTGTTGGCTAAGATTAAACTAAAAAGCAAAATTAAAGAATTAGCAGCAGAAAATGTTCAGCGGACTTCTTCAGTTCTTAACACATCTAGTGTTTCGGAAAACACCGTTACGGCTTTAAAATTACCAAAGTTAGAAATTTCGCGATTCTCTATGGTGATTCTGGCAAATTTATGGAATTCTTAAACTGTTTTGATAGCGCAATCGGTTCAAACAATTCACTTACGAAAATTGAAAAATTCCAATATTTAAAATCTCTTCTTTCTGGTCCTGCATATAACGTTGTTGCGGGTTTTGAATTAAATGAGAAAAACTATGACTCATGTCTTGAGCTTTTAAAACAAAGATATGGTAGAACTGATTCTATTATAAATTCTTACATGACTAAATTATTAAGCTTAGAACCCGTGAGAAGTTCGTCTAATGTTAAGGGTTTGCGTAAATTATACGATGAAATAGAAGTTAATATAAGAAATTTGCGTTCATTAAATGTAACGGAGGGTTCATATGGGCATTTATTGAATCCAATATTATTGAAGTTGCTACCACAAGATTTGGTGTTAGATTTTCACCGAAAACGAAACAGGGAAGTGAATTGTGAGGTTTCGGAAATTATTACGTTTTTGAGGAATGAAGTCGAATCTAGGGAAATTGCCGAAACTGTGATGAGCCCCCTAAAAAGTTACGAAACAAAACGATCCTTTTTCCCAAAATTATCAAAGTGGTCAAACTTATCAGAAAAACTATTCAAAGCCTAAAAATATATCAACCGCTTCAGCGTTAAATACACAAATAAAAAATGCTTTGTTATTCTGTGACGGTCATCACGATTCCGTAAGTTGTAAAAAATTGGATGTAGAACAAAAAATAAATAAGCTTAGGACTGAAGCTAGATGCTGGTGTTGTTTCCAGAAATATCACAGGTCTCGCGTATGCAGGGCAAAAATATCGTGTAAAAATTGTTTAAGCAATTTTCATCATGAGTCAGTGTGTAGAAAAAATAAACCCGTTAATGTTACTTTGAAAGGTTGTGAGAAGCAAGTGGAAAGCGAAACTGTTTTGAATGACTCACAATCTAAATCTAATAAAAGCGCCGAGAATATTTCTGTGTCTCATAGTAATATATGTACCAAAAATAAGCCCTTTTTACAAACATGTACAGTTTTAGCCTGTTCGGATAAAAATTCAGTCTTAACTAATGTTTATTTTAGACAATGGTAGTCATCGAAGTTTTATTTCATCTCGATTAGTTAAAGAATTAAAATTAAAGCCAATACGCTACGAAAGAATAGCTATTTTTGCTTTCGGAGACAAAATAGCACGTGAGAAGGAATACGGTATCGTTTCATTGACGTTGCGCAATAGGGATCAAAGTTCGAAATCGTACGAGTTAGAAGCTGTCATAACGGATTATATATCTAATTTGTCCTTGAAAATTCCTGATGTATCTATTCGCAATGCGTTGAAGGAAAGAGGTTTACCTTTGGCTGATTCATTTTCTGGCGACTGCCAGACGGAAATACTTATCGGATGCGATTCATTTTGGGATATTGTTTATGACGAGAGAGTAAAGTTAAATGAAAACATTACTGCGATAAATTCTTGTTTCGGTTGGTTACTAGCGGGAGTGGAAGGAAGTAATAAATTGACTAATAATTATGAAAATGTATGTTTAGTCATGGACTCTTCTTCCATTTTGTGCGATTTGAAAAAATTTTGGGAAATAGAAGAATTTCAGTCAGACAAACAAAACTTTTCTGAATGGGACAATCAATTGATTGAAAAATTTGAAAATTCTCTGGAATTTAATGGGGAAAGGTACGTTTGTAGATTGATGTGGAAGGAAAACTTGGGACCTGCAGTTGGGTTGAATTCTAATTATGAGGTTGCGAAAAAGCGTTTTGATTCGTTAAAGCACAAAACTAAATAAAAATCAAGAAATTTATGACCAGTATAAACAAATTATATCGGATCAGTTAGAATGTCAGATTGTGGGAAAATGTGTTAATGAAGATAAAAATTCAGGATATTATATGCCCCACAGAGCGGTAATTAGGGATGACAAGGAAACAACTCGAGTTAGAATTGTTTATGACTGTAGCAGTAAGGCTAATGAAAATAATAAATCTCTTAATGAGTCTCTAGAATCAGGAGTAAATCTTTATGCAAATTTATTGGACATAATTCTTAAATTTCGAGAATATCAAGTTGCATTTTGCGGAGATTTAGAGAAAGCTTTTCTTATGATAGAGATTGCGGAGGAAGATAGAAAATACCTTAAATTTTTGTGGTTTCCCGAAGAGGTAGGTGATTCAACCGAAACTCTCCATTTAAATCGTCTCCCATTCGGTTTAACTACTTCGCCATTTTCCTTGGCTTGCGTTTTGAAATTTCACATAAAGAAATTTAAGGAACATCATCCAAAATGTTATGACATGTTAAATTCTTTTCTTTATGTTGATGATCTCTGCTATGGAGCCAATACCGTTCAAGATGCTTATCATTTGACTTCTACGGCAATAGAGATATTAAAAGCAGCGGGATTTCATTTGAGGAAATTAAAAACTAATTGTCCGGAATTGTATAAACTTTGGAATGAAAACGGATATGAGGAAAATACTGACTTCGGGCAAGGAACAGGTTTCTTGGGATTGAAGTGGGATCCGATTGAGGATAAAATTAAATTAGATTTAAGAGATGTTAGGGATTCCATTGATGCTAGAATCACCAAGCGTCACGTTTTGAGAGTTATTTCAAAGATATTTGATCCATGTGGACTGATTAGTCCCTTTGTAATCACTGTGAAAATTCTTCTGCAAGAGATGTGGGAACGTGGTCTACAATGGGATGAAGATTTGCCAAGTGACCTACAAAATAAATGGAGAACCTGGTGTTCTGAACTTTGTGAACTTGAATCAGTATCTATTGAAAGAAGGTTTTTTTGAAAGTGTAGAAATAAGTGAAGTTTCTCTTCATGTGTTTTGTGACGCCAGTCCCAAGGCATATGGGGCTGTTGCGTTCCTAAGGTACGTGAATTACAATGGCCAAATCAAAGTGAGCTTTATAATGTCAAAAAGTAAAGTTGCTCCTTTAAAAACTTTGACTCTTGCAAGATTAGAGTTAATGGCAGCTCTCCTCGCTGCACGTTTAGGAAATTATTTACAAGGTCTATTTCCTAATTTCGCGAAACAAATTTTCTTTTGGAGCGACTCTCAAATCGTCCTTCATTGGTTGAAAGGATCTTCTAAACAATGGAAACCATTTGTCGCCAACAGAGTAGCTCAAGTGCAGTCGCTGACTCTACCAGAGTGTTGGAACCATTGCAGTGGCTCCGACAATCCCGCAGACCTTACTACTAGAGGAGAATCGGCTAGGAGGATTCTTACAAGTTCTCTGTGGTGGTCAGGCCCTGTTTGGTTGTCTAAACCGCTTTACTCGTGGCCTCTTCAAGAATCGCTACAACACATTTTAATGACATCTGTGATGAACGCGTTATAGTGAAAGAGCGACGGACTGCACTGGTTAATTCCATGGTAACCAGTTCAGCTAATGGAAACTTACCTATGTCGTCGTTACTGGACGTTAATGACTTCAGCGAATTAAGTAGATTACTGCGTGTTACTGCTTGGATTAAAAGGTTTGTGCACAATTCTAAACCTAATTCTACAAAATTAAATGGACCTATATGTGCTCCAGAACTCGAGCAAGCTTTGCGTTTTTGGATCAAAGCTACTCAATTCAAGCATTATAGTACAGAAGTTACCCAACTTCTTTCTAAAGGAACTATCGATAAGAGTTCACGCATATTTAATTTGAATCCTGAACTTGATGATAATAACTTACTTTGTTTAAAGGGACGTTTACAGTTTTCAAGTAACGATATGCGAGCCAAACATCCTTGGCTTCTTCCATCTAATGATAAATTTGTTGAACTACTTATCTGTGATTCTCATACTAAAATGTGCCATTTAGGTGTTGATGCAACTTTAACACATTTACGAGAACAATTCTGGATTGTTAAAGGTCGTCAATTTGTGAAAAAAGTGTTAAATAACTGTCTGATTTGTAGACGATTCAAAGTGAAATCTGGAATGCAGGTGGTTGCCCCTTTACCGCCTGATAGAATTCAAGAGCATCCACCATTTGATGTATGCGGTGTGGATTTTGCCGGACCATTTTTTTTGTTCGTGATTTTAATTCAAAGTGTTATTTACTTATATTCAGCTGTGCAGTGACAAGAGCTATCCACTTAGAAGTAGTTCTTAACATAAGTGCTGATTCCTTTTTGTTAGGATTCCGACGATTTGTTTCTCGTCGAGGATTATGTTCCACTATATATTCTGATAACGCCAAAGCTTTTAAAAAAGCAAATAGTGAATTGAAAAAATGGTGGAATCAGATAGATAATGATCAAGTTAAAAAATTTGTTTGCTTCTAAAGGTATAGTTTGGAATTTTATAGTTGAAAAAAGTCCATGGTGGGGAGGTTTCTGGGAGAGACAGATACGAACGGTTAAAACCTGCTTAAAGAAAATTGTTGGACGATCCTCTCTCTCTTTGAAGGAATTGGAAACTGTTTTTTCGGAAATTGAAGCTCTGGTTAATTCCAGGCCTATCACGTATCTGTACAACGAACCCTCAGAACCCTCTCCACTCACCCCATCTCATTTTCTTATTGGTAAAAGATTGGTGTCTTTACCTGTAATAAAACATAAAAATGGAAAATTTAAATGTTAATAGGAATTCTTTGGTAAAGAAATATAAATATCAGCAAACACTTTTGAATCACTTCTGGAACAGGTGGAGAAAGGAATATTTACTTAATCTAAGATCAGCTTATATTTCTCCACAACCAGGTAAAATAGTTTCATTTAAAGTGAATGATATTGTTTTGATTAATGATGAGCGTTATCCCAGAAATATGTGGATGATGGGAAAAATTTTAGAGCTATATCCAGGAAGAGATGGAAAAGTTCGTTCTCTTCTTATTCAGACTCCTAAAGGACAAATAAACGCTCAGTACAACTTGTGTATAATTTGGAAATTAATCCTTAATTGTGTTAGTTTAATTGAGTTGCAACCTGTTAATGTTCTATCTGTGTATTAATGATAGTTTAATTGTGCTTATATTTTAATGCTTGATATTTGAACAATTTTCTTTGGAAGTTAAAAGTGTAATTGGTTTTTGTATGTTAAGTCACTGAATAATTTTGAAGCTTTGTATTTGATATAATATGCTATTTATATTTTTATTCTTGTAATTTTAAATGGTTCCTGAATGTAAATTTAGTTGAAATTCAATGGTAAGTGAACTCAAGTGAGTTCAGGTGGGGAGTATTACGTATTTCCAGCGTCATTCTGACTAGAGGGCGCTGCGTTCGTCCTAATAGTCAGTGGCAGGCAGGATACTAAAGGTGTAAGACGTGGAAGGCAGAGATGCCTAATAATATATCTAATTGATTGAAATTTTCGTATAATTTCTTGTAAATAAATGTTGTTATTGTTAACAAAACCTCTTATTATCTCTTGGATGCACCTTTAGTCTCACAGAACCATTAGATGCAAAAGTGAGACTTTGGAATACAATCTCTTATTTTTTATCCTTCTGGTTCCGATTAGATATCTGGTATACCTGGAATACATATGACATGTGACATGTAATACATACATGTGACTTGCTGTCAATTTAAATGCTGGATATATATATAAATGTTATTCTAATAAGTAACAATAAATTTCTAATCTAATAATAAGTCATTCATCAATGTGTAGAATATAAAATAAATGAAGGTATGGGATATAATAAAGGGTATATGCTTATATGAAATTTACATCCACCGTATGTATAATAATTGACAGTTCTTTACTTTATTGATTTTAGTTCCAAAAGTCTATGTTATTGGTCCTCCTACAGTTGACCGTAAATTAGTTTGTACTACGCTAGCTTCGAAACTGAACCTGGTGTATATAAGTTGCACTAGTTTAAAAGAAGATTTGCAATTGGATCTCTCATCAAAGGAGGTATGAAAGATTTTCTTTCATTTATTTGAAATTAAACGGCACTGCGATTTTTTTATGCTTTCATCTAAAAGCGACTGCTCAGTATGAGAACTGATACAAATTATTAAAATTCTTATTACGTTTATGTAATAAAACAAAAATTTATTTTTAAGTGTTCTTTTTATAGCATTCATAAGGCTGCAACGAATTATTGATTTGATACGTATTACCATTTGCAATGCTTCAAAATTATAGCTTATAGAGTGATATTTTGTATTCCAAATAAATATAATATTAAATCCATTTAAATAAGAAGAGTTTAAAAAAGAAGTATATCCATTAAAATAAGAAGGAAAAAGAATCGTGAAACTTTATGAAATGTTGGTTAACGAAGAAACCAGCGGCTGCCTAGGATTAATTTCTTCACCAAGGGTGTGTTTCGCCAAGCTATTAGTCTAAATGGAAGCCTTTCTAAAAACTGTGAAAACTGAGCGTAGTAATTAGTGAAAAGTGAAATTACTAATTAGTGAAACTAAATTGATGATTAGTGAAAAAGGAACTTACTAATGAGTGAAACTAAATTAATGATTAGCGAAAACTGAACTTACTAATTAGAGAAACTAAATTGATGATTAGTGAAAACTGAATTTACTAATGAGTGAAACTAAATTGATGATTAGTGAAAACTGAACTTACTAATTAGAGAAACTAAATTGATGATTAGTGAAAACTGAACTTACTAATTAGGGAAAATTGATGATTAGTGAAAACTGAACTTACTAATTAGTGAAACTAAATTGATGATAAGTGAAAAGTGAACTTACTAATTAGAGAAACTAAATTGATGATTAGTGAAAACTGAACTTAATAATTAGTGAAACTAAATTGATGATTAGTGAAAACTGAACTTACTAATTAGTAAAACTAAATTGGTGATTAGCGAAAACTGAACTTACTAATTAGAATTCCCTATAAAGTGTGAAATGCTGCCATACATTATTTTTTATCAAAATGCACGGAAACATTTGGTGGCAACAACCTTTTATTTCTGCTGCCATACATTTTTTATGTATTCGCAATATTATTTCTTTAAAAATAATACAAAGAGATAATATTTCGTGGCAACGTCCTTTTATTTCTGTTGCCATACTTTTTTTATATTCGCTATATTTATTTCTTAAAAATAATACGTAGAGATAACATTTAGTGGCAACATTCTTTTGTCTGCATTGCCATACATTTTTTTACATTCATTATGTTATTTCTTTAAAAATAGTGTATAGCGATAACATTTAGTGGCAACATATGAAAAGTGATACGGATAAAAAAAGTGAGGTTTAAGACTAATAGGACCTCTGTTTCTAAAATTCAGGGAAACTGATTAAAATTAAGTTTTTCTGTGTACTTTTATAATATATATATAGGAACAATACAAGTATCTTGAAACGCGACGTTTCCAGTTCGTCAGGTGTAGTCACAGCGCACTTTAGAAGGTCTGACAACTAAAATTCCAATAAATTGAAATCGAAGAAAAACAAAGCGCAGAGTCCCGATGCCTTTTGCTTAGCGTGGATTTCACCAAGGAAGATAATTTTGGGCTAATCGGATAGCGGCAAATCATGTGATCAAGGATTTTTTTTTATTCGTTCCATACTGTTCTAATAATAGCTTAAAGTGATGGTTAAACTTGTGACCACTTCCCGACTTTCGCTATTTAGTCATCATATTTTCATTATTTTAATTTCAAGATACTGATAATTTCCATCCGTGTTTGACGAATTCCATAAAGTACTGATAATTTTCATCCGAATGCAAGTATGTTTGACCAATTCCGTACGTACTGATAATTTTCATCCGAGTGCAAGTTTGATGAATTCCATACGTACTGATAATTTTCATCCGAGTGCAATTATGTTTGACGAATTCCGTACGTATTGCGATTATACAGAAAAAGATAACCCAATTATCTGGAGTTGAAGATTGGATACTAGATTTTCACTTTATATGTACATTTCTGAAATTCGTTGACATTTTGCCATTGTATTAAAACTTTACTCTATTTTCGAAGTCAAAATAGAAATTAATTTTCAAAAGTTTCAGGACGACAACGTTTTATTGCATTGTTATAGATATAACAATAGGTTAGAAAAACGAATTACAACAATACAGTAATTCGTTTTTCTAACATACATATTAAAGTTTAACCCACATTTACTAATGTTTATGCAACTGACTGAAGCATTTTCGTACATACTTGCGCATTTATTTAGACAATTTCAGAGTTATCTCCTTCAGCTTGGGCAGATCTGGTTCAGAAACGCGTAGAAATGCCAGACTGTGTCCAAAACGGATGGATACTGGAAGCCTTTCCCAAGACCCGTAGCCAGGCGTTTGCTCTCAGGAAAAATGGAATCTTTCCAACTCATATTGGTAATGGATTTTTAAGTTTAGATTAACATTTTGTTATTTCGAAACGATTTTAAATATTTTCATTTTAAAATTTTCAGCTTGTATGTATTACTATTTTAGTTTGTTGCTTCGAAGATATTCAAACATTCCATTTCTTAAAGAGGGATTTTGGTACTTTTGCGTTAAGACGCCACCGTAAAAGGAAATAGACATACCTAAATCGTGTGGCGTGTAAATAAACCACGCCAGGTCTTGAAGCCCCATAAGGCTCGCAGAGAAATTTTCAAATTAAAATACGCGTTTTGAAATTCTACTCTGTTTTCAAAAATGTGCCTGCAGTTAAAGTAGTGAAATCTGAATAGAGGAATATGGTAGTGCAACTTGAGGATTTTGGAGGATATATACAAGATACAATATATATATGTATGTATGTATGTGTATATATATATATATATATGTATGTATGTATGTGTATATATATACATATATGTATGTATGTGTATATATGTATATATATATATATCAAGCAAGGTAGTAATTACAATACTGAATGACCAATTTGGTCTAGAAAACATCTTGCGCAGTATGCTGCAAAATAAGTAAATTAGAAATTGTAGTAAGCTCGCCTAAAAGTTACCAGGAGCTGTTGCTCCAAAAAGTTCAACACGTTTTAAAAAAATTAATACATATGAAAATCAAACCATTAAACATGTAAAACATTAAAAAACAAAATCAGATAAAAAAAGCGGAAAATGGTAAATTAGCCTAACTCGACTTCCAAACTGGCTTTTCAAGGGAAATTTTATTTGTTTGAACGTCGAATCAAGCTAACCCTATTACGCGTTTCGCCGAAACAGACAATTGAAACTTTTTCGCTACAAATTTTTTTAATTTAGACAAAGTGTCTTGGAAAATTTTAATAGTCTCAATTCTCTGTTCCAATTTCCCGACGCGTCCGCACAAAATGACACATTAAGGTGTTAAAATATGTAAAACCTATTCCGATACATCTTAAATCTAGACTAAAATCAAAATAAAAATAAAAATAAAAATAAAAACAAAAATAAATAGCGGTCTGCTATTAGTCCTAAATATACAAAAACATACGGGCTGGGCCTGCAAGCTTAAAGATTTATAATTTTATATATTTTAGAAATCTGTAATGAAAATCTGTAATTAAAATAAAAGAAAATTAAGATGAAAACCAACAAATTGGGTCTTGCTAAGACCAAGAAAATGTTGTAACAAAAGAAACAAAAAACTGACTGTGGCGATGCAGAGCTCTCCCTCTTAAAACTATGTTGAAAAGTAGTTGTAATTCCCTTCTGTGTACTTCAGTCGTGTGACGTATGTAGGGGGGAGCGATGTTCTGTGGGCATCAGCCAATACGAAAAGATTGTCCGTTAGCTGCAACTCGTCTCATTATCGAAGGGGGTCGGAAAACTCGGAAAAGCGTGAAAAGATTTCAAAATGGCTTCTGACATGTAGTTGGAAGAAAAAATTGTGACTGAAAGTGAAAATGGCTAATTCAACTAAAACTACAAAACTTGGCCACAAAAGCAAAGCAAGAGTAAAAGGAAAAAACAGTCATTTGTTAAAAAAGTCGTAATTCTTCAAGCTAGCGGGCGATCAAGCTACTATGAAAAACGAAAAGGCCCGATTTGTTAATAAAAGCAGTAAAATTGGCCATTATAGAAATTTAAAACTATTTACACAATAGTATTTAAAAGTAAAGTGCCAAAATTTTGGCCAAAACTTTTAAATACTATTGTGAATCCAGATAATACTATTGTGAAAATTTTGGAGGAAAGAGAATGAATAAACAAGAATTATCTGTACATTTTTACATTAGATTCTCTGAATCAGTCATCCATCTTAAACCGTCCTTCGGGCTTTAGGTATAAAATATCATTATCTAATTCAAAAAATCTAAAAATAGGTAAGGCTAATGCCAGCTTTTTTTTAGAGTATTTTTAATTATTTTATGAGGAATTAGGTTACTTTTCAAAATAGTTACGAAGTATAGTATTTCTTCTTGTAAGTGTTTCGCAGTATTGCAGATTCTTTTTATTCTGAGTAGCTTTGAATAAATTGTGTTACGTATGAATCTTTTGGAAATATTTGAATTTCAGTTAGTTAATTTAAGTGTGGAAAAATTAAATTCTCTTTTTTTGTCGTAAACTTTAATAAAATTGTAATCTATAATATGTAAATCAAGGTAGACTACATTATGCTGTTCTGTATTTGTTTTATTTAGTTTTAAGCATGCAGGGTAGATATTAGCTACTTCTATTTTGTTGTACACACACACCGCATACATCGTGTCAACAAGTTTTTTACCCGGCCCTTAAATTCGCAGCCGTTGGTAGTAGACGAACGTAAAAAACAAGTAAGGACTTTGCGAACACGTCTTATATATCTATATAAACTTATGTAAGATAAAAATATGTAAATCAGCTTTATAATTTAATTTGGTAATAGTTTCTTAATTTTTAATTTGAGTATTTCGTATCTTTTAATTTGAGTATTTCGTAAAAATAATAACAGCATTTCTGTGCTGTGCCATTTCTAGATAAATCTGTGACGCATCACTTGCGTGACGCAGTGACGTAGCTGAATCGGAACCCAAACTCAAAATTTCAAGAAATGAAACTTTTCTGACCTAAATCAAAACCTTCCTCTCGGCGATCTTCCATATTGGATAAATGCTCTCTTCTATCGCAATAGTATCAAAATGTAAATGTTCTGGAAATAGACACGATTAGAATGCCAAGTCCATTGTGGCCACAAATGTGTTGAAGTAAAAATGAAGATATAATATAACTCGGTTACCGAGTTTCCTAATCACTACAGGTCAAATATTTTAGCATATTACGTAATCAGAAGTCTTCCTCTTCAGCATTAATTCAGCTCTTTAAAATGTTTTTGTTTCAGTACATTATATGCAATTTTTTATTGTAAAAACTTTTTTTAGTCTTTCCTAAATCTATTTTAATTTTTTTTGAAGTTTATATTGTTGTAGTTATTACAGTAGGTTTTTTTCGCGTTAACTTTTACAGCTTTTATATTGTATTATTGTTTATACTTGGCATACCTTTTTTACTCTGGAACTGCAGTATCAAATGTGCTTTAAAGCATATATATTGTTGCGCTTTTCTTTTCTGACACCAATTGTTACGTTATTTTCTTCCTTCACGTTCGTACGGGGTTCGTGAGGATTTGGAGTGGATAATGACAATACTACTTGATGAAGTATCAAATCCACACTTTATTTACCAGTATTGTCAGGACAGCTCCAAAACACGTTTCTACAGTCGTCGATGGGCTACTATAAACACGCCGACACGATCAGCGACACAACCTCCAGGTTATTAGGCTATCACGGTGGAGACAGCTTCAACGGCAAAGCACTAGAGTTCAGCTCCCGACTCTGCTTGGTCGTTCTCGGAACTCCACGTACTGTCGAGACTCACCACGCTACAACTCGCGATGCACTGGACGACATACAGAGCACAGCTCCCGACTCTTCGGTTCAATCGTTCCCGGAGCTCAACACGCTTTCTCGACGATGCACTAACTGCGATACATTACGAGACTCTTTCGGTGCACTCGACGACTCACTCGGCACTCGCTGCCCGGTTGTCAACTCGATCGACTCCGCAGGAATTGACTCGCTAGACGAGACACCAACTCGATACTAACTGACTGCGGACCAGCAGGGTTTATATAGCTTTCGGCTTGTGTTCGAGAACATTCTGAGCTGTACCGGTAAGAATTCGTTCCAAATGGTTCTCCATCCGTCCATCGTACATCGCCAATTTTGTCGCCAGATGTCGCCAAAGGTGGCAACTTTGCCGTCCTTTGCCATTTTATGGCAACCCTAAAACTGCTTTGCGGGGAAGCCATCTTACCGCGCCTGTACATTTCGTAACAATATATATATATATATATTTGCATAATATATATATACACATACATATATATATAGGCTGGTAATAAAAAATTTATGGGAAAAATGTTTAGGCTTGTTAAGAGGGGACCAAAATAAGCACATTCTGAATAAGAATGTATATGCAGAAATGACATGTTGAGGTAGTACACGCCGCTGATGAGCGGTAGATAAAAGCGTTCTAATGGTGCAAATCATCATTTCCCGTACGGATTTCAACGTTATGCATCGCTACACAAATATGAAGATCGATGTATGCATTTTATCTATGGGTTTGCTCAAGAAAGGCACTCAGGATTCGCTCTTTATATTTTCTTTGAATAACTGCTGCGTATTAGCCGCAGCCCCATTGATAAAATGCTTGTCATCAAATTCCACAATGCAAACCGCACGGGTAGTGACGATTTACGTTAGCAGAGCGTTTTTACCTGCCGCTCAAAAGCCCTTTATACCGCCTAAGAGCGCCATTTCTGCGCACAGGTTCCATTACAAAATATTATTTAGATCCCCTCTATCTGCTTTACATTTTTGTCAGATATTTTTGAATAACTCTGTGTAATCGTAATTTTTTTTTTTTTTTTAGTTTCGAAATTCATATCTGAATGAATTTTTTGTTGATTATTTCACATACAAGCACAGCCACGTATATATGCTAATTTTATAAATTGTTTCAAAAGAATAAATTGAATAAATACAAATTTAATTAATTGTTTGCGCCATTGCTGCAAGGAATGAAATTTTAACAAAAATGTATAAACGTAAAAAAGCAAATTTAAAGTTAAAATAATGTGCAAACATATAAAAGAATTAATTTTCGAACTAATTTACAATATCATTTAAATTCAGATTGCATAAGTTTAAATCAAGTGCAAAAACAAAACATGAAAATAAATTCACCAGTTTAGCAAATTAAAATTAATCTAAAAAATTAATCTAAAATTTTTTTTTAAATGCATAAGTGAATGACTGTTGAGCAGGCAGGAGACAGACTTATCAAGGGGACGTTGCCTCTTAACCTAACTCTTCAATCATTCAATTCGTGTTTCGTCATTCATGCAAGCAAGGGTAAAAGTCAAAACCAAAAGTAGTGAAGAATGTCCAAAAAGAAATAGCAACTAAGTGGTACCTTGAGTAATTAGCAATTAAAATTAAAGGCTGAAGGAAAATGAAGTATTTGAGATATAAGCAATGAAAAGTTTAGTATTAAATTAAACTTTTTTAAAAAATTAAATTTTTCAGAAAAATTAATTTAGAAACCCTTGTTTACAGAAACCTCCCCGACACGAATATGCATATTAATCAAAAAGAAAACTAAAAAGAACTAGAGAAATTAATAAGGAAATAGACAAATTAATATAAACCAATAAGTAACTAAAAAGAACTAATTCATAATTTATAAAAAACAAATATATACTTAAAAATAATTACATATCTAGAAAATACTTTAAAACTACATAAAAATTACTTAAAAGCAAGTACATAGTAAGTTTTAATACTAAGTTTTAATACTAACTTACCTACCATATACGCGTTGGGGTCTGCAAAAGTATTTCCTAAGTGATGTAAGTGTGTTCTGCAAATTATATAGATGGCGCTAATGTAAGTAAAGTTGAGTGCCAAGCTGCTATCTTTAATATTAAAATATTTAAATAATATAAATCTAGAAAAAATCAAAGAATATCCTAAAAGTATGTAATTCAAGTTTTAATTTTATCTGACCAACTCTTTATGGTAGGGAGTTTAGTAGCTGAGCCAATCAAGTGGTTATTGTGAATTAATAAATGTAAACTTGTTTGTAATGCTAAATGTGTGTTCTGTTGCAAAATTGTGTAAATAATGCAAATAATATTAAGTGAAAAAATTATTTTTTTGTGAAAATTGCAAATTAAAATTAATTAAGTAAAACTAAAATGTTTTAAAATTTTAAAAAAGTTTTTAAGTAAAATTTAAATTTTAATTTAAAAAGTCTTAAAATGTCTTTAAATTCCCCAAATTTTCTTAAAGTAAAATTTAAATTTTGAAAAGAAATCCTTAAAAAAATTCTTTAAAAATTTTAGAAATTTTCTAGTAATTTCCCAGACATTTGCCAAAAATTACTTACTTTTTTACGTTTATACATTTTTGCTAATTTTATAAAGGTTTTTGAATATATTCTACTTGCTGGAATGAAAAAAAATTCTTTCTTTGCAGTCACGATTGAAGATCCAGTCTTTGCATCTCGTGTCACTTTACGTAAGTTATCAAAGTTTATTAGAGGAATACTTGTCATTTTAGTTTTAAACAAATGTTGTTTTCCAAGTTTTGCCTTTTTATTTGTTTTATCATGATAATCATGCATTCAGAATTTGATAATCGGTTAGTCTGTTTGCTTTAGGTTCTGCAAGCCGTATTTTATTTATCTTTTCTTAAAAATAAAAGGGATATTTTGTAAACCATTGATTAGATAAGCTTGAAATGCTTTCTGTCAACATTAACTGTGTTATTTTTATCTCTTTTGAATTTTTTTCCCCGGCTACATTGGAGTGATACACTTAAATAGCAAATAATATTATCACTTTCTTCACGTTTTTGAACTATAATCTATGAAAGAAAACGAAAACGAAAACAGACCTTTGGTCTCTCTGATAAAAAAATGTTGATGTCTGATAAAAAGCAAAACAATTCATTAAGAGAATATTGAAAAGAGAAAAGGGCATGCACAGTTAGATAAAACTGATGCATTTGATAAAAAATATGAAAGGCTTCCTTGCCATCATATTTTACAAACAAATGCGCCTTTATGAAAGTACACCATGCTGGTTTTTTAATTTACCATGTCAAGAGACCGCCATCTGCTGTTTTTGGAGCATTGGTTTAGAAATAATAATAATAATAATAATAAAAAAAAACCTGAAAAGTTTCAGATTTTAAATTACATCGAAAGGGGCGTTTTTTTTAACACTTTGTGTGTTACCCTTTTTTTTTTTTTTTTTTTTTTATTAAATATCATGTTCTTCGCACTTAAACCATAAAATTCAGTTCAATAGCAATATCGCAAAATAATTTTAAAATAAACATATCTTTAGAATTTCCGATCCACAGTCTCGCGTGCTGGATATAAAAATGTTTTTTTTTTTGTACAACGTTGCCATTGCTCGCTTTGAAATCCTTGAGTTTGTTAATCAAAAATTCGTTAAAGTTTTTCAAAATATGAAATCGATAATAAAACAAATTTCAAATTTGGGCTTCCAGATGCCGATATTTACAGGAGGATTACGTTATTCAAAATTTGACGGCTTTAGGTACCGTTGTTTTATCACAATGCGAGAAACATACATACATTTATGCAGATTCTTCATTATTTAATTTATTTAAATATAATACAGGGCGATAATATTTGGTGGGAACAATTTGAAAAGTGAAATAAGGCTTGCAGTTTAGTGAGACATGTATATCTCATTAGTATCAAAGGGCTAAATGGGGAAGAATGTAAGGTGTATTCTCCCTCTTTGTTAGGTGCCTTAACAGTATAATTGGAAAGAATGTCTGACTGGCAGTTAGGAGCTTGAGAGTTCGAATCCTGGCGAGGGCACTGCTTATTTTTCTTGTTCCAGCTCTGAATTAAATCTAATGACTGGATAACCCTACAGTCATTAGATTTAATTCAGAGCTGATTATTAGATTTAATTCATTAGATTTAATTCAGAGCTGATTATTAGATTTAATTCATTACATTTAATTCTACATAGTATATCTGTGTCTCTTTAGCTCTTTAAGAACTTTGCATTTAATAGCTCGGTTAAGAAATACTTCAAAGTGCTAAAATAAACTTATTTATCATGTTATTTAACAAATACCCTTTAAATAATAAAATTATTTTCATATAATGCAGAGTGCTGTCCGCAAGTTTCTGAGGTATTGAAATCTGAAGAATTACAAGAAATGTTGGACTTTTTGGGACAGAAAGAACTTATTTTGGATCTTCATAAAAGTACTTACTCAAAGAGCTTTCAAATCGGAACCAATGTAAATGATTCTTTGGAGAAAGGTGTGTAAAGATCTTTTCAAAATGTTTGTTGTAGCTATAAACTGACACTAAAATGTTTAATTTATTCTAAATGGAAAATTAAAAACATTTATTTTAAGTTTAAGCTATTTTTCCTGTCAAGCCTTTACTTTCCCCTGGAATTGCCAATGCCAGAGTATGTAAATTTTAGTAGAACGCGCAGAGTATTCAAATTTTTAGCAGAAGTAATTTGAGTTAAATAGAAGGGAAACGAGATTAAAAGGTGTGCTTCTTGATTCACGAGCGTGAAGGTTGCTTTGGTAGAAGTGTAAGAACCGCGCGTTTCGGCCTGTGTGCCTTTCGGCAGTTAGTTGAATTCTTTCAACGTCTTAATCAGAAAGTTTGCTGAATCTCAGCTGTATCTTAGAACGCGGTTAAGATAGTTACAATTATAGAGCCTCGTAGATAGTGACTTCGTTAGTTATGCATCCTGTTATTTATTTTTAGTTGTACTTTTCTATTTTTTGTTACACCGCCGGGTCGGCGTAGTTTGTGAGCGTCAAGTGAACGCAACTGTAAGTTCTAAAGTGAAATAAAAAGGGATTAAATCCTTCTTACGAGTTTGTGTAACTTCCAGTTCATAGCAGTCACTACTACTGTTGCGGCCAAGTTGGGACCACGCAACATCACAAACTTAAACGCAACCTTTAGATGAGAAGTTTTCATCTGATAGTTTAGGATAGAATGTTATACACAAAACTCATCGACTTCACAATACTGAAATAAAATATATGATGCAGAAAAACTTAGAAGCAGGATGGCAAACAAAAAAAAAAAAAAAAGAGAAACAAAAAAAAAAAATAAAAGAAAAAATAAAAAATAAAAAAAAAAAAAAAATTAAAGGCTTATAAATAATTTTTGACTTCAAAAACTAATTTACAAAGTGAAAATTCAATTTTTTTTGGTGTTAATTAGCAGAATGCTACTTAAAAATGATAGAAACAGTTTATAAACATATTATTAAAATGTATTTTTTACTTTTTTCTCACATTTTGGATAAAAAATGTATTGAAATTTCAGCATCACAAGATTAGTTGCCTCAAAATTATTTATGAATATTTTACTTTTATTTTTTTCACTTACATTTATTAAAGCATAAGGAATAAAATGAACTAAAATCTAAGTCATAAAGCAAAATGTCTATTAGTACCTGCTTGAGTACATACACTAGCTATTTTTCGAGAAATTTTTCTCTCTTCGTTTACAAAATTGTCTGCAAAAATCTTAAATGTGTATATAAAACTAAACTTTTAGTCCATTTAATTCCCAATATTCTATAGAATATTTGTGGGAAGTATCATAAAATTGCTGTAGTAATATTTTAAGTTACGGTGTTTTTCGTATTAGAAATGTTGACAAAAACAAGTTTTTTAAAAAACAAATTTAAAGTTTTATCTTTAGAAAATATATTACAAATTGATATATTACATTGCTAAAACTGCCCTGTTTTGTATATTACACCTTCTGTTAACTCTATTTTAGAAGATTTTTTTCTTTAAAGAAGCTCTTAATTTTTTTCTTGTGATTTTTGCGGAATGTAAAGAGTGCCGTTTTAAGTCAACAATCCGAGTTTTATCAATACAGTTATATCCCTTTACAGTCAGTATATTGTTCATGTTTCATATTAAGTTTTGCCAATATTTTTAACTTCCCCAAAAATCCATTATTAAACTGTATTACTCCTATATAGGAACCAAGACACAATGTTGTCAACTCAACAAACACTTGTTTTGGTATGATACTTTTGGTTAGATACGTTATTAAAACTCTCATTGTTTTGAGTTTCGAAACACACTGGACAGGATAATGCAGAAAATACAGATTTTAGAATTTTTACATAGAATATTCTATTACCAGCAGCATTATTAGCTTCATTATAATTTTCAGAAAATGTTTTATTGTTTCCTAGTTTTGATTCACTGGTAGAAGGTTTCCTAGTATATCTGTTTCCAGCAAATCGTCGTTTTTTAGAATGAAAAGTTCCACGCCGACCCATTACGACGTTTACAATAATAAAGTGAAAATATTTTTATCACAATGTTAAAATAACAAAGCATAATGAGATAAAAAAAATAATACTGAATAACAACAAGCATGCTAAATCAGAGTGTAATCAAATCAGAATGTAAAGACAAACGGAAATGTTGCCAAATATGATACTGAAATTTCGAAAGTAATCTTGCTTCCAAGCACATAATAATAATAATACATATATTTCAAAATCATCTTTTGAATACCGCCAACAGTATTCAAATGAAATATTCTTGTTTAGAGCAGTCTGTTTCCCTTAAATATCAACTTCTGGCCATTTAAACAGCAACTTCCGGTTCATGATGTACAACAAAAACAGTCATAACTCTACTTCTAATCACCAGAGAGACAAAACAAAAATAGTTTTTAGAAGCTAAAAATATAAGCTTTAAATTAAAGTAATAAAATTTTTTTGAAAAATTTCTTCAAAATTGACGATCAGAACGTAGTCGGATACCTTAAAAATAGCTAATATTCTGTCAACTGGTGTTTAATAAGTTTAAACACGGAGCAGTACATGACAAAATTTGCATTCGCCAGAGTTAAAATTTAGCATACAAACTAACGTCTTCTACCATTTTTCTTTTCTTTGGTAAGCATTTAGGAATAATTTCAGTTGACTTCAGCAGATAAATTTCAGACACTTAACCCAGTTTCCTAGTTTTACAAAGCCCACCCAGCGGCCGAGCGGTAAAGTCGCTGAACACTGGTAGTTCGGTCCGAGGTTCGAATCCCGCGAACGGGCTGGCTGCATGGGTGTTTTCGTGGTTTTCCCCATGTGTAACGTGTATACGAGCCAGTTTCCCTTAGAAAGTCCTCCACGAAAGGCATCCCTCCCCTTAGGCAGATAGCCCTAGTGTGCTTTGCCATAATTAAATACACCACCTAGTTTTACAAAGCTTAGAACAAATAAAATCCTTTAAGTTTAAAACGTTACGCTGATATTTGCCTATAAATAAAAAACAATCATAAAAGTGGACCGAAACTCACAGAATCTAACCACTGAGTGTGGAAATTATAACTTCGATTAGAATATGGTCATTAAAAATGTCCCTAATGTATGAATTCCCTTAACCAATCGAAATGAAATTTCAGATATTATTATAATATATGATTCAGATATTATTATAAGATATGCGCTCAAATTGCTATGATTTAAAACATAACGGCTCTCGAGGTTACGGCTACAGTGAAAAAAAGTTCGAAATTTTCGAATGGCAGCTCACACTTTTTTCCCGCGTAAATTGACCACTGTATTGAAAAACTATAGATAGGTTGGAACAATATAAGTATGATGAAAATTGCCGGCGAAAAACATTTGAAAAGAAGAGTTTTGTAACGGACCAATGACAACACAAGAGAGGAAAGAGGAAAAAATTATTTGAATTACAAGTTTTCAGTATACTCGCCTTCGCAGACGATAACGTACTGCATGCAGAAGATTGCTAACAGCAATGAGGAACATTACATAAAGACCAGCAGGAGGAATCTGTATAACTTCATATTTCATTCATGACATTTTTTAATTCTGACAAACCTCACAGATTTGTTAGACCTCAGATTTCAGATAACCCAGGAATCAGAAATCCGTCGGAGTATCGCGGTGACCAAGAAACTGCAAAACTGCGAGAGATGTCTCTATCTTCAAAGTGCTGTTGTAGCACTTCACGAACACATGTCGCCACATGTATTCGTGAGCACTATCTTGCATTCATGCAATCTTATTAGCGACATATCGCTGCTGCAATTCTGGTATTACGTAATTCTGCATCATTATTGTATACGGAGCACTTGTGATGAAGGACGTTTTTATACATGTGGTAAGTAAACGCTTCCAAGAAGTAGTAGGCAAAGTGCGTCAATTCACGCCCTCTTTGTGTTGTGTCAATAGACTTTGAAACTAATGCCTCTCTTTGCAAATATTTTAAGCCGGCAATTTTCATCCAACGTGTATCGTTCCAACGCCATTTACACTTTTTCAACGCTCTGATTAATAAGCACAGGAAACAGAAAACAACAATAGTCCTTCAGGAACAAAGTCCCTTTGGCCTAAAAATTGTCGTTTCCATTCGAAAATTTAGAAATTTCTGCAATGTGACCAGGAGAATATTTAATTACAAAGTTATGTTTGGTATGTTTTCAGAACACAGCAAAATTTATGCAACAGTGAACTTTTAGCATAATGTTATTTAATCAAAAGTAAAACGGGCTGTACTGTGTCCTCAAATATGTTATATGTTATTTTGTACATTATAATACAGCATACAGTAACTGTTCCGTCTCATCTTATTGTTACAACATTCATCTCACTAGAGGGCGCTGCGACGCCCCACCCCTTTTAACCGACAGAACTTCTGTAGACCGCAAACAGAGCGGTTGTTCTTTTTGGGCTCGTGCGCCATCTCTTTGCAATAGCCATCAGCGCTAGCAAGAGCGTACAGCTCTGATCCTTCAGGCCCCCGTGCCTTTCTATTGATGAATAAACCTTTATAATTGATTACAGTCCATTATTCTTTCGACGGATCTCACTCTCTAACAGTAACCAACGTGTATTTCTGTGTATAATTGTGTAACTTGTTTGTAATGTGTAATTTTGCTCTTTACTTAAGCCTGTTGTATCAAAAACTATGTTTTATATAACCATGCTATGTACTATACATTCAAGTTATATCTTATATAATAAATTGCGTTATTCAGAATCTATGTTGATTTTTCAAGAGTAATGTTCGGAATGATATATAGCATAGAATGTATAGTGTATTAAGTGTAGCAATGAGTTTTTGTACATGTGCCTTAAGTACAGTGCAATGATCAAATGCAATGCATATTATAAAATGTATAGTGTAACGGGTATGAGTAGCAGTGTGTTAATATGCGATGTAACTAGGAGAATGTTTGATTCCGTATGCAGAAAAATCTGATACTTTGCCCTTGTATGGCCATGTTCTGTCTTGATTTCGGAGTGTAGCTTTAGATAGTTGAGGGATCCGGACGATACCAGATTAGTCTATGCAAGCCGCCCGGATGTCCGGACCTGCTCTCACCTGTCACCGGTACCTGTAACCGTGTGCGCTCTATTGTTTTTAAATCATCGCTATCTCGAGCGCATACCTTCAAATAGTAATATCTGAAATTTTATTTCGATTGGTTGAGCGGATAGGCCATTAGAGTTTCATATATCGGAGAAGTTTTTTTTGTGACCACACTGTATGTATGTGTGCAATTTTTAGGAATAGTCTCAAAGCGGAGATGTCTTTTTCTGAAAGAAAAGTTTATATTCTGTAATCAGTTCTAATAGAAATTCATGAAATTTAAATGCCTGTATACCTTTCTCGACAGTCATTGAATTCGTTCGAAGCAAACAGCGCCCTCGTTTGCCTTACTTACCCAGAGTCTTGCTTCTAGGACCTTATGGCAGTGGTCGTAAAACGATGGCTTCGAAATTGGCCGAAAAATACCATGTAGTCAAAGGTAAGTTTGGTTTATGGTGCTAAAACCACTTGTATTGCTAACACACCGTGTCCACAAGTTGTTAAATATCAAGAAATCAATTTCATAAAAATTACGAAATATAAGTAACTTTTTGTATGCAGGGTGAATATGAAAAAGTGGGCAAAACTTTAAGGGGTGATAGAACGCAGCAATACGAGCAATATTCGTCATAGAATGTATGGCTGGAACGCAAGCCGTGTGAAGCTAAAAGGTAGTTTTTCACTGTCACATTTAAAAAATTAACACAAGAATGAGAGGAGATACTTCAGAAAACATTTTATTAACAAGAATGTAATTGATGTGAATGTTCAAAAGACATTCTGCAAGCTGTAATGTAAGCTTCACACCTGCGCGATATTGAATGACGCACAATTGCGAAGATACCAGGCATTTCCCGAGTATCGATCCATATTGGTTTCAACGGGACAGTCGGTAGATAGGCTTTTCGTATAGCACCGCAAGAAAAAGTCCAAACACAAGAAATCCAGTGATCTTGGTGTATAGTGTGTCCAGTGATCTTGGATCTATGGGACCACCTCCGACCAATCCATCGCCCCGAAAATTTCGTAGTTCGTACAACCAGCCATCCTCTTGGCAATCCACGGTAGAAAATGCCGTTGAGTGTCAGCATTGACCTCTTTTTATACCATTTACAATGCGACTTAGTGGCTCGCCTTTTGCGTTCCGCCCAGACATTCTATGACGAATATTGCTTGTATAGCTGCATTTTATCACCTCGTAAAGTTTAATCGTAAACCTCGTAAAGTTAAATCGGAGAACATGTTCAGAGGCGAAATCATGTTCACAAACTGAGGAACGAAATGCTTACGTTTGCTAATAATTAAAAGTAAAATAGGAAAAGAAAAAGAAGATAAAGAAAAGGGTTTCCGATATTAAGAGCATTTATTTATGATGAACATTTATTTCTATGCTGATTAATATTAATCAATATGATTTTTGTTTTCTTCAAAATGGAGATCTAATTCAAAGCATGTTACAGAATTCGTATTTTAGGAAAGATACGTAGACTTCAACATATGCAGGCTGTTGGTTGGGGGCTGCAACTCATAATATTATTTGCATTAAATTAAAAATGAAAAATATTTGTACTTTATTGAATTTTTTTGTGATATCCAGATTATGATTCTAAAGTAATAAAACTTCACGAGAATAAAGTATTTTAGACTGCATTTTTCCAAAATATAAATAAATATAAGGATCGGAGAAGCGTATAAAAAATTAAATTTCGTAATTTTTACAAAATACTGCTGTAAAATTATTATTGGCTGTTTGAGTTTCAAAATTCTAATGAATATTAAGTTACCAATTTCCATAGTTTACCACCAGAATGCGACATGATCATTCAAAGCATTTGCGATAATGAAAACGTGAGAGATAGAATGTAACTATGGTAACAGAGGATATTAAATACTCATGCATTTTTAAAAAATAGAGTAGAATATTTTGATGTTGTTGGTTGTGAAATTCTGTCCTAATAAATATTCACATTTCCTAGGAGATAAAGTTTTCATTTATATATACATAGGAGAAGGAGAAAATATGCAAATTAAAATTATAACCCAAATTAAAAATTCAGTCTCACTTTGAAAAAAGGCACTGAAGTTAGTGCACCAACTGACTTAATTCACTGTTCTAAGAGTTTTAAATGTAAACAATAGGCAGCCTCGTTAGGCCTAATGCTACTTTTAAACTTCTGATTCTATAACTATTGCATACAGATTAATTAAAGGCATAAAAACCCTAATCAGAGCATAAGAAGAACATAATTCAATCATCTTTAAAGCAAAAAATGCTGAATTTAACAACATAATAAAAATACTGGGCCGAATAACAGCGTGGAAATATATATACGCTTGGTGCAGCCGATTGCAACGAAAAAGGGAAGTGCGCAACTACATGTTATAGCAGTCCAATATACAAAACATCAGCGTTCTACGTTTACTCGTTTTTGAGTTATGCGAGACGTCACGGGGAAAAAAAAACCCTCTTCTGAATACATTTTAAACCCTTAACAATCTATTTTGAGGGGGGGGGGAAGAGTTCTTTTTTTCGTCCATAGGTACAGATGTCACGCATAAAAATTATTCAAATGGATTCGACACCAGTCAAAGTTAATGTTTTCGTTGAAATATGATACCCGAAATTTTTCGTGATTGCAATACTCACTTTATTTCGTACAAGGTAACACAAACGGGGAAGGAAATACGCGAATAAGTACGGTAATTTGTTAGTTTCTGAGAGAAATATAAGACGGAGATACTTACTTCTAGTTCGGCGAAAGTACTGAAATATTAGCAAAAGAACACGGTTCAAGGTATTCTCCTAATTGTTGTGAATTCTGCCTAATTTTTATGATTATTCATTGTATATTTATCTTTGTTCTAGTGAATTTGTTAGATTAAAAAATTAAAGCATTCACCTATTTGCAGTAAAATTAGCGATTGCGAATGTTATGATAAATTTCAAGCATCTTTTCTTCTTTTGATGGAAAAAAATTATTCTTTTACAAGAAACTGCACTTCTCTTTTCAGTTGATTATCAAGAGGAACTACGTAGAGCTGCTCTTAGAGATTCTCCATTAAAGCAAAAGTTTCAAGAAATCCTAAAAACGCCGGAGCCAGGTAATGGCATTTTTTATTTAGTTTGGTTGATTATGGCACAGCACACTAGGGCTATCTGCCTAAGTGGAGGATTGTCTTCGTGGAGGACTTTCTAAGGGAAACTGGTTTATATACATGTTTCCACATGGGAAAATAACTAAAACGTCCATGCAGCCAGACCGTCTGCTTCGGATTGAACCCAGATTGAAACTACCAGCGTTTTAGTACTGCTTGGCGGACGGCAGACCAATGCCCTATTTGAAGAGAAAAAAATGTTGTACGTTCGCATTAGCAAATCTATACTGACGTAGCCTTAACAACAACCAGAATTATAGGGGGTACACAGCTCTGAATATTGGGGGACGAGGTTGTTGCGTTGTTAAATAGAAGTTTCTCCAGTAGATTCTAAATTTTTATAACTTTGATTTCAGCGAATTGTCTCTGAGATGACTACTCATGGTTCTTTGTGAATTTAGTCTCTTGTTGAAGTGCTTACGTAGATAGGTGATGTTTACTATCACTGTAGATTCAAATCTTAAAAAAATGCTGGCCACTTTAAGAGGTCGACACTATCAAAGGGTTCACTACATCTAAGAGTGTGACACTGGGAATAAAATACCCAATTCTGATTAAAACTTTAATGACAAATTTAGTTTTAAAATGGAATTGGCTAACTTACTTTAAAATTTCAATCGAAAAAAATATTTAATTAATTAATTTTTTTATTTTATACTTTTAATGCATTATAATATAGAAGTAATCTCTTTTTATATAAATGCTCCCATCGTACATTAATTTATATATGCGTTTATATATATATATATAAGGTAAAATATGTAAATATGAATTATAATTCAAATTAGCAATGACACCTTAATATTTAATTTTAATGTGGGTATTTCCCCTTCTTTGTAGTAGTAAATTTTTCTGCACTGCGTCATTTCGAGACTTATCCATGTCATATAACTTACATAAGGCAATGACGTAGTTAATTCGGAATTTAACTCAAAATTTCGAGAAACGAAACTTTTCTCCTAATATGTAAGGTCCTATATGATAATAATATAATATATAATTGCGCTTATATGATAATTTTATAATAATTAATATTTTGTATAATTTTATAATAATTAACGTCTATAAAATAATAAACTAATACAAATAATGTAGTTGCGACATGTGACCAAATTAATATATAGCTATATCATTTATCAATTGAATAATAAAGTGTATGACTAAAGTAAAGTTAAAAAATTCAACTTCTTTCAAACTAATAGAACTCATAGATTTTGGATGTAATTTTATATGTTTAAAAACTTGAATTGAAAAAATAGATAAAATTTTACATATTTTAAATACTATTGAAACCTTCTAGAAGGCGTATTCCCAGGCGAATGTCCCATTTATCCCTCGGGAAATCAGGCTCTGTAAATGCATGGTACAAAGTAAGGTAAATGTACAACTTCAGTGACAGCTTTTAAGTATCAAAAAAGGTGATGTTTTTTCTTAGCGAGGAAATTTCTTCCCGAAAGTTTTAAATCCAATGATTTCAACAAAAGAACTGAACCAAAGCAAATGCACCACATTAGTAATTAAAAAATTATTGATAACTTTATTTTCCATAATTTCTCTCTTCTTTGCTTCCTTGTACGAAAAAAATGAAGTATTTATTGTCATAAAGAAATGTACGAATAAATGAAGTATTGTATCGAAAGAATTTCGGGTATCATACTTCAACGAAAATATCCATTTTTGAACGCTCTCAAATACATTCGGAGCATTTGTTTGCATGAACATATACGTGTGTACGGACAGAATGAAGGACTCATTTTTCCAAAACGGATTGTAAAATCGATTTAGAAAGGATATTTTCTGGAGGTTAAAATGTAAGTACGCATCTGTCTTACATAACTCAAAAACGATTAGTCGTATAATATTGAAATTTTGTATATTGCACTGTAATAACGTCTAGTTTCGCACCTCCCTTTTTTATTGCATTCGGACGCACCAAACAGTGTATATATATATATATATATATATATGTGTGTGTGTGCGTGTGCCCACCTTCATACCCTGCTCGATGAGCTGTTTTTTTAATTTTATATGTTGGTAACTTGTGTAATTTTTGCTTTAAAAGTGTTTGAATTATGTTTTTCTTAATATCGGTCAAGTTTTATACGCCTGCGATCTGTACTGTGAATCTGCATGCAATAGTTGTAGAATTATCAGCAATTTAAAAGCGTACTGGAGCTAATCCTACAGTGGCGTAAATGTGTTTACATTTGAAACTGTTAGTAGAATAGTGAATTAAGTCAGTTGTTGCACCAAATTCAGTGTTGCTGTGCCCAGTGGGACCAAAAGTTGACTTTAAATTTTGATGCACCGAACGTTTTTGTCTTTCCGCCAGTTTCCAAACACTAATATTTTAAATAAAAAATTTTTGTTCATCTGATTTTTAACTGTATTCGAAGTTTCAGGTTTTTGTGTAGTTTATTATTTTTAATGAAGATGTTTTGAGTTTTTATGCAAAAGGTTTTTGCTGTGCCGCGGAGTGAGAACTGAATTGTTTGAATGATAAATACGTATATCTAATCAGATTCGAGGAAATGAGCTTAAATGAAATACAGCAAGAATAAGTATAATTTAATAGGTCGTACAAGGAAGTCATTTGGTATATATGTATATGTTTAATTACGTATATGTTATGCGTGTATGTTACGTATGTAATATTACGTATATGTTTCTTTCTCATTACAGCTTTATCTCTTGTATGTTATAATTTCTAAAAATCGATATATCATAAATATACGTTTTTTAGTAACTGCAGAGATGGAGAAATCAATAATGATTTTCTGTGTCGTTAAATGATTGTATCTTAATCTATTCCATGCAGAAGATTACTTTTAGACTTAACCGTGATGGATGCTAAGTGACATAAATTCATGCGGATGATTTTTAGTGCTTTGAAACTTTGATCTTACTAAAAGCGTGTGTATGTAGTACAAAGCGATGGAATTAACCTTGAAGCATTTATAATTTCCCCTTCCTTATTTGCAATTCAAGTTATTGCACATAGGATTAAGCGAGAAACTCTACAAGTTGGAAGACAAAAATGCCAGCGTAAAATTTAAAGTTAGGCGATAAAATCATAACGTAGATCAAAATCAAATTGACGAAGATTGTTTGATTCAAAGTCTGTGACAATCCATAGTTGCTTATCCTCATGTAAAGAAATTTGCTGATAGAATCAGACAAAAGTTATTCTAGACAGCTGCGTTTCCCTATGAGTAAACCGTAGTTATGGAAATGCTTATTTTTGAATATATAATCTTATCTTTAATGAATCGTATCTTTAATGAAATTAAATATTCCAATATATGTGAAATAAAGCGTATTTCGAAATCTAACTTTCAAATATTTTATTGAAACCTCAAAAAGCGAAACTATGGTCCGAAATAATTTGAACACTAAAAATATTTTATCTTAATGTCTATTACGGTACATTTTTTTTTAAACTACAAACACACGACGGAAATATATGAATACTTAAAGAAATGTGCATTGTATAAAATACAAGAAGTAAAATAAAAATATTCTCATAACATCTTAAAAATGGCGCATAGTTCCAGTTTCAAAAATATTGTTCTGGAATACTGCCAATAATTGTGGAAGGCTACTAGTAAATTTTCTTGCAGACTGGCAAGAATGGTTCCATATAACGCCTACAATCGAATAAAAAATGCCTTTTTGTATTGATACTTAGATTGGACCACCAGGGGCCGAACGGTAAAGTCGCTGAACACTGGTAGTTCGTTACGAGACTCGATTCCCGCGAACGGGCTGGTTGCATGGGTGTTTTCGTGGTTTTCCTCATATGTAACGTGTATACGAGCCAGTTTCTCTTAGAAAATCCTCCACGAAGGCACCCCTGCCTTCCGTGTAGTCCTAAAAGCGGAGCACGTAAATAATAATAGTAAAAACATACTTGGAATTTGTACGTGTAGACTATATTTTTGTATTGACGCTTTAGTGGCTTGGTGACCAGTCAGCGTTCGGACTAGAAAACATATCTAAATATACACAACAGAAACCGAAATGCACTTTTACTTTTACTGTATGATGTCTGGTTTATACACCAGAGATCTCGATTCGAATCCTAAGGTGATTTACCAGCTTCAAGGAAACAGAAACAGGGTTGGCGCAATTACTATCCGCACCAAGAGAGGCCCTATATTCAGCAACAAGTGACAGGTGACGGAGGGCTAGGACACCTGGCGGTTAGGAGAGTAAACAGATATACTTCTTACATCTTCCTCTGGGTAGAAACAACAACTCCCTGGAGCTCCATAGCAGCACCTTTCGGGAGTTTAGATAAATACAAATACAATGAGTTCGCATATGTTCGCGGTTCGCCGTTCATTGTAATTTGCATGATTGTACTAAATGTTCAGTCTCCACAACTCTGCACTGCAGAATATATTATGTTTTGTTGACTAAAGTGCGGGTAGCTGAGCGAGTGAAAGTCTTATAAGACCTGGCGGATGTCCTGTCCCAGAGCAGCAATCGTGATGATAGTCTGACATATCTTATCCGTGACACGATTTTCTATAATAAATCGTCTGTGAATGTCTACATTGCTGAAGCACGGACGTGAATAAGTGGCGTTGGCGAGAGGGTATTGATAGACGTAGTGGTCTGGCGAGTTATCTGTTCCGCAGACGCACGTTGCAGTTTCCGAAATGCCAGCGAAGGAAATAAACAGGAAACGGTCCTTGATAAAGGTAGTGATTTGCGGGACGGACACGTTTTTTTGAAGATTAACTTTCGGAAAGAAATCGTGTGTGCCTCTCCGTATCACCTAAGTCCCTGTTGCCATTTCAGGGTGGTCGTTTGAGGCAGCTCCTTTTTCAAGTAAGATGGAGTTGCCGGAATATTGATTTCCTCTCCGTTTATGTTGCTACTTGCCTTCTAGTCATCGACAGCAAGGAGAGCTAACGCCGAACTCTTACACTGATGACGAGTACGAACATGACAAGTCATTCTCCTCCGCACACTTGGAGAAAACGGCGAACAACAAATATATGCACTAACCCTTCACACGGCACTCTCCGACACGCTGCGCGTGAATCGCAGGTCAGCGACAAAGATTACTTACAAACGACAAGATCACAAAAGATTAATTATATCGACGCAGAAGGTTGGCATTCGAGCTCATAGCACGGGTTCAATTGCAACAACCATTCGCATCTTCTAGTATTGTATGACCAATTCTGCGAGGGTCTACGGAACGGTGGAGTGATCAGACAGGGCTTGGACCAAAAAACAGAGCCAAATATCCGTACTAGAAGTCGAAATGCACTTTGTGGCTCGCTATTTGGTTTCTAAGCCACAAGGCCACTGCTTGACCTCAAAGGTATTTTACTAGCTTCAAGAACATCGACGCAGTGGGAGGGATGGCGCATTTACCATCGTCACCAAAAGATGGCGCTATTAGATAGCTATAGCAAGATGAGCTAATATCGAGTCCACAGCAATACAATTTTGTATTCTATAACCTTCTTGTGAACTCTCCCAAATTAACTATTGATTGATGCAGTTACCTGTCTCCAATCTTTATCTTCCTTCCTGCTCTGAACATTTACTGTGATGTCCAGGTTTTCAGTGACATGTTTAATACGAAGCAAATTTTAGTTTGCATAATCTATCAACGAATGCAAACGTTTTAAATTCATTTTCCCAACAAAACGCTCGGAGTGTATTATTTTTGCAAACGATATACTGAGATTGCTTGTTTTCATCACATGATATGCGGTCGTTTCGAAAGATTAAGGTAATGAAAAAAGAGGTTTCGCATGAATATTTGCTTATTCTTGAGGATGGCCATTTTCGAACTCATTAAGTTAATCCTAAAATTCCCCCATCATTTTAATTAAATCGAGTTTGTGTTAATTGAAGTTGCACCCTAGTACTGGGCTTCTCACTATGTGTTACGGATCATTAATACACTGTCTTATGAATGCACGGCAGTGTAAACGATGTAACAAAGAAAGACGGCTATTATTCAGGTTAAATTTTAATGTAAACAGCCGCTAAAATAGTAGGAAAGTTTATGTTTTTTTCCCCCTTTTCTAGACGTAATCTAGTCAGTTATTTTTCGTTTATAGTGCCTGATGAACTGCTAGCAAGTGTGGCGTCTCAACGACTTCTTCGCAGTGACTGCATTGAACGAGGGTGGGTAATGTTCAACTTTCCTGACACTTTGAAGCAAGCTGAACTGCTCATTCAATACCTTGAAGGATTTCAAGTAAACAGGTAAAATATACAAATGGCTATTGACAGGACTCAAAATAAAACTTTCAGCAATAGCAGTTATAACACAGTTAATAAATACAATCTTGTAGATTAGGAATTATTATCCACACTACAGTTTTCACCAACCCTCCAAAATAGAAACTTCAGAAAAAGAATAACTTATTTGGCCTTATTTGTAGACTTGCCGAAAACAAACTTTGATCAAAAGGTTGAACAAAATTTACAATTTAAAAAGCCCACCAAAAGTTGCAGCCCTAAGAATTTGCAACGGCAGCGCCAAACAGGCGATACAAACTCAAAAATTCTAGGGAAAATCGCCAACTGGCGAAACAGTAAACAAAGAAAGTAAACCTGTATGGCAAGCCTATGGGGTTGACGGGGAGAGACGAATTTTTCCCCTGCAGTCAGTCTGTGTAACAACTTGTGCTTAAACGGATTATGTAAACTTCGGCATCCGTGTCTGTGTTGAGACTGTGCTCTATCTTAAGCCATTATAATGTATCTAAATATGTTACTTTTCCTGATTAAATCTCATTCTTAATGGTATATGACTATCTCAATTACGATTGCTATTTTTCGAAGTAATGTTGTCAATACTTTCGTAGGCACGTGTTACTTGCGCGTTCCTCAAACTCATGAAAGCAATTGAATTGAAAGTAGGTCAAAGTGAAACAAATTATCTCATCCCCCGTGCATGTTCCTGTGGTATAAGTGGTTAACACATTCATATAACATTGGAAGATCCACTGTTAAAATCTCGACGACGGCACAGTTTAACTTTCACGCTTCCTGTTCCTAAAAATATAATAGGCTCTATAATAGCTTCCGAACTAAAGGTTTAGGTGTAGTCGATTTGCTACTACTTGGATTTAATCAATTGGATTTCATGCCTCTTCCCACTTGTTCTTTAAAAGCGGAAGAATGCAAAAAATTATCGCAACCCACCGTGCATGCAGATAAAATTGTTAACACCCATATTATACTGAATTAATCCAGCCTATATATATTATAAGCCTATATATACCATACCATATATTTTAGCATTCTTTTAGTACAATTGTCGATACAGTATTTTACTTAGACAAATTTCTAATTAGGTAACTACTAATTAAGATATAATAACACGCTGAACAATTATTAATTTAGAAGTGAATCAGCGTTATATTTTCAAATTTTCATAGGACTGTTTCAATGGTCTCAGCTGGACTGGTCCTCAGCTGCAAAAGCGAAAACCAACGAGATAAGATATAGTGATAAGATAAGAAAGACTGGTCAGGAGTTAAGCCACAGGCGCCATCTGTTGATGAAACGAGAACTAAAACATAATTTAATGTTCATCAACAGATGGCGCCTGTGGCTTAACTCCTGACCAGTCTTTCTTATTTTATCACTATATCTTATCTCGTTCATTTGCGTTTTTGCAGCTGAGGATGATGGTTCGGTAAAACCATCGAAAGTAGTCCTGTGAGAATTTGAAAACATAACGCTGATTTTTGTTGTTTGACTTCTAAATTAATAGGTAACTACTATTGTAACTACTATGCTAAAGGAATGTTAACAGGATAGTCACGTATGATACAGTGATACAGTATAATTAACGTCATTGGATAAAATTACTAGGCTTCCTTATTGCGATATGCATTATGTTATTTAAACATAATTTAATAACATAATTTGCTTATATATTCTGTATATGCTTTTGGAAAAATATCTTGAGCTAAAATCTGCACTGATCTTTTCTTCAACGCGTAGTGCTGAATCGAGCCAATGTAAGATGTCAATATAACAAGATGTAGCATATTGCTCCGAGCTAAGTGTTTAAATAATGACTCCAGATGAGCAGGAAGAATTTATTGTAACTACTACGTAGCAAAACAAATAGTTGCAAATAGCTGGAGGAGAACACAGATATATAAGTAAATCCTCCTTAACACACGAGAAAGAAATATCTTAAGTTACAGATGCCACTCATGTCATAAATTAAAAAACACAATTCATCTAACACTCCTTGAATCGCAGTCTTTCTGAAATCACTCAGAACGGATTAACAAATGACTGATTGATCGCTAGCCGTCAGAATAGCCGTATTTATATGCTGTTTTCTAGCAATCGGGATTTTCCAGAGCTTCGAAAAGAGACAGAAAAATTAAATCGTTGCCAGAGATCTTGACTGAAGTCCAAAATCTGGCTTTTAAGGACTTTTAACTGCTTGCTTGTGAGTTACTACAAACTCACAAAGGTGTTTCACAGTAACTGTGATGGTGTAACAGTAACGGTGTATCAGTAACTGTGAAACATGAACAAGTATGGAGGTGCAGAAAGGACCGTTCAAGAAGGCCCTCAGGATGTTTGCTCAAGCTGAATACTGAAACTGCTGAGATATACATGTGACTACAGCGGCGTTTCTCAATCTGTAGTTCGCGGACCACAACTAGTTCTCAAAATCTGCTCTTGTCCTCCTAGATTTCCAAAAAAGGCACATAATCGTATCCATATAATAATTATTCGCCCATATCAAAAACAAAATTCAAAATTGATTGCATGTATCACACTGTAGCTGAAAGTATCACAGTTTACACATGGTTATCGTCTGTTAAATTTTCTTCCAAGACAGATATTTTATGAAATTTAGTACCAGTTACTCTATTGATGACCTCCCACTCTAGTGTCATAAACAAAAGAGATATTTAAAGTCCTATGACTGTTGTACTTCGCATCAGCATGAGTAGAAAATATAGAACACCTATGTAAGAATAGGTACGTATAAAATAATGTGTCATTAAACCATCTCATTAATGCAAATAACAACATTTATTTAATGGTTAATTAATAAGATAAAGATTATTACACTACTTATGACCTCCCACTGCAGGTTTAAAAGCAAAAAATGGATTTAAAGTACTACGAGGCTGCTTCTTATCGGCATGCATAGCAAACATAGAAGAACTATACCAGAATCAGTACGTGTAAATAATGTCTCATTAATATGTAATTAAACCCTTTCATTAATGCTAGTAGCAACATTTACGTAATTTTTAGTTAATGGGATAAACATTATTCCAACTTGGAATTATTAAAAGCAGATGTAAATTTTCTTCTGATAACTTAATACTAATATAAAATTAAATGGATTTTAAATAAAAACTTGAGTATCCTGGAAACAATGCTAAAAAATTGCTTTCAAAAGGACATGTTGTCCAGATAACATTCTAATTTATAAAAGTAGTCCGCGCTTGAAAACGTTTGAGAAATATTGTACTTCAGTACTTAGATATCGTATATCATTTTGGTATCGGTTTCAAAACTTCAAAAAAAAAAAAAAAAAAAAAAAAAAAAAGCGAAATGTCAGCCAGTTTTTGGGACGCCATTTAGCAGAAACGATGCTGCTCATATGTGTACCGCCCGTTCCTAGTAAAATTCTTAGTGAAAAGCAGTACCTTAGTAATTGCAAGTCTCGATCAGACTTATCCAAATCAGACATATCATGGCATCTATCCAACCATAGTGCCTCAAAATGAAAACTATTTCTTCCTTCAGTATGTCAGAATATAAGCAAAAAACATTTTTAAAAATGGTATTTTCTAGTGAAATTTTATTAATTCATTGTATAATAATGTTTTGTCAGAGCTATCTTCCTTGATGCAAGTCTGGACAAGTGTTTGGCGCGAGTAGAGCCAAGGAGACTGGATCCACAAACTGGTCACCTTTACCACTTGAAACTTCGTCCATGCCAGCAGAGGTTGGCTGTGAGTCGCTTGATACAGCTTCCTCAAGACTGCGCCGAATCGGTTGAAGCCGATTACAGGTTATATGAGGAAAACGTTGATGAACTGAAAATGTTCTTCAAATCCAAGCTTCTGGATGACATAGCTGTGGAAGTGAATGCTAACTGTAACGTTGAAGAAGTCTTTGAAGAGGTGCAAGCTGCTATCCTGAAGTCGACGAAACTTAAGCTTCTAACTACATAAAAAGACACAATTAGACAATAACTGTATTAAAGCAAAATTAAAGAAACAATTTCAGAATGATTAAACACACATTAACTTCGACAAAATAAAGTTTTGTTTGACTTAGTGTGTTCCTGTGCATCAGTTTGCGTGCATAAAGTTCTTTAAATCGATGGACCCCAGAACGTCTAAATAAAAACGTACTTATTGATGGCATTGTGGATTAAGACAAAGTATTTCATTTTTGGAAACTGGGTATAAAATATGTTATTGATAATATGTGGAGTTGACGCTAACATTTTTCTGCACTCTCTTTATTTTTAATTTGCCGTTATATGAAAAACCAGCAACAATCATAATTTTGTTTGATAAACTTTCTTTAGATTCTTTGAACCTTGTTTTAAGATTTTTTTTCTCCTCATTGATCATAATAAATGTATCTCTGTTTATTACAATCATTTAAATACAACCAAGATTCATCTGTTATGGCAAAATTTTTCAAGTTTTGAACTGTGCGGCGATATGTCGTGGAGAAAGACGATGCACATTATGTTTTTTCGCCTTTTTAAGATCCATATAAGGATTAATCATTTTGTTTACAGCTGACAGCAATTCAATGATTTTGCAGCTGTCCTTTGACTTGGCGGATTTAATTTTAACATTAAACATCTTACCTTTGCCACATTCGAAACATTCCGTTTTTACCCTTGGATATGTATTTGGAAAATGTTTTCCGCGTGAAGTCAAACTTTACGGTTTTTCTCCCTTTCTTATTGACATTATCACCTGTCGTAGCTTTAAATATTGAATTACCATGGCTTTCACAGCGTATTTACTTGTACGAAGTAAAGGAAGATTTGTAATCGCGAAAATTTTCGGATATCATATTTCAACGGAAATACCCATATTGACCGCTATCGAACACAATTTAACGATGTTTTTGCGTGACATTTGTACGTAAGGACAGAATAAAGGACTCTTTCTCCCCAAACGGATTATGAAACTGATTTAACATGAATTCAAAAGAGATTTTTTTGTGGTATCTGTATCTATGCATCTCGCATAACTGAAAAACGAGTAACCTCGGAACGTTGAACGCTGTACATACATTTTATAGCTAACGTTGTACAGCTATACATGTAGTTGTGCACCTCTCTTTCTGGTTGCAAACGGTTTCACCAAACTTATATAAATATACATGTAACCAATCTGTTACTCGGCTCCGTGAGCTCAGTTTTTTATTCTTATAAAAAATTGGGAATTTTTTCCTTTAAAAATAATTGAATTATGTTGTTCTTATCTTCTGGTTAAGGTTTTTATACTTTTAGTTAATTTGCATGCAATAGTTGTAGAGTTATCAACAATTTAAAACTTATTTAATGAAGCTAAGCTTCATTTTTTAGCAAAGCAGCCATATTTTTTTACATTTGAAATTTAGCAGAACAGTGAATTAATTAAGTTTCCGCACTTTCAGTATATTTTTGTCGAATGGTATATTTTTGCCGAAACTTTCAGTTTGGTGCACCGTAAAATTTGCTTTTTTGCACGCTGGCCGAATCGCTTGTTTTTGCGTAGAAACTCTAACTTCGATTGTAAAAGAAAAGTCTAATTGTTTTAACTGTATTTGATGCTTTGCATTTTCCTAAATTTTTCAATTTTTAATGAAAATATTTTGAGGTTTCACGTATTTTTTCCTTGCTGTGAAATGAGAACTGAATTAATTGAATGAGAAATAGATGTCTAATGAAATTCGAGGAAAACGTTTAAATAAAATGCAGCAAGAAATGTCTATAATTTTATATTCATGTGGAAGTCATGTGGTGTATACATCAATTTTTTTAAATTCGTTTCATTTCGAAAATTTCACAATAGTACACACTTTACAAAATCAAGTACTTACAAAATGACGGATACTTTCCGGGTATAAACTGATATGCGGCATATTGCACTGAGAAATGCTATTGTCTCGTATAGTGTGCAACGTGTGTTCTATTTTACTTTTACTGGAGTTTTATTGAACACTGTTGATGAAAAGTGACACGTGTGAAACAGAAATGTTTCTTAGTTTTAAAAAAAGACGCCTTAGAGAAATGTAATTTTTTTATCCACAAATAAAATTTAGAAAGAATCCCGTTTTACATTGTTCAAACTGCTATACATAAATACTTTTGCACGTATATGAAAACCGCAAGAGAAGGGCTATGTAATTTCTCGCTTTATCCGTACCTAAAGATATTTCCTGTATGTTTATTATGTTGTGTAAATTTCTCTAATTCACTTTTTTCCCTGCTGCGGTCGACGTATATGTGTTAACCTTAGCATGTTTTTTTTTCGCATATCTAATTTACTTCCAAGTCTCCCCAATTGGCTTATCCCCGCTTTTGACTTGATTTAAGCAAAATGCATAAAAAATTGCCCGGAGAATATGAGATAAAAATATTGCGATGAGAAAAAATTCACGCTCTGTTAGTGAGGGGAAAAGGGGTACCCAACTCTAAATTAAGTCTTCGAGTGCGAGGCGCTGATTCGTTCTTTGAAATGTTAATCGACCTAGCAACGTGCAATTTAATCTGATTTACGCATACGAGTAACAGAGAATTAATTTTTTTTATCAGCATATTTTTTGCAGCGATGTTCCGAGAAGATTAAAAAAAAAATATCTACGAAGCGTAAGCAGACGACTCCGATTATAATTCCATGCATTAAATTAAGGGGAGAAAGTCTGCTGTTTCTAATTTTTTTATATATATTTGAATTAGGTGAGAACAAAGGCAAAAATTAAAATCACCATTACGAATTGAAATATAAATCAGATTCCTTTGAAAGAAAAAAAAAAAAAAAAGGAATACAGCAAGTTGATTACAGGAAGATTTTTGAGGGTTTTTAAAATGTAATTCTAAGATCGCATAAGTAATATGTTTAAAAATAAATTCCTTTTTTTTCTAATATATTCATCAAGTCGAAATTTTATTTAATTTTTAAAAAGTAAAACTCGTCTGTGCAGCGCGTTTTTTGATTTGATTGGGAGGACAAAAAATATTTTATAAAGCTACGTTTTAATCAAGATAACAAAGATCTCAAAGTTAAATAATAAAAAAGAAATGTATTCTCAATTAATATTCTTGTTTCATAAAAGTGGCTTCCTCGAAATTAAGTGTTTTACCTTCTTCGGTATTTTTTATAATGAATCAAAGCTTGAATTAGATGTTTTTTTTTTAAACCATACGCCACTTCTTCAAAGAAATTCTGTGTTTTGATTGGGAATTAATTCAAGATGCTTAGTAATTTCATATTCAGTATGTTTTAGTAATAAAAAAATAATTCAATACATTCTAATAATATTTTTAAGCAACGAAACAGTATTTGATATCTCATAAATATTTTTATCTCAATGTTGAAGACTAATAATTTATGATTTTTGTAGGTATAGACACCAAAAGTACTTATTTGAAACTACAGTACTCTCACAACTACTACTTCTCTACTAAACCAGCGGTCTCAACCTCAAACTAAACTACTACTTCTTCTCTAAAACTAAAAACTACTACTTCTCTACTAAACTACTACTAAACCAGCGGTCTCAACCTCAAACTAAACTACTACTTCTTCTCTAAAACTACTACTTCTCTACTAAACTAAACCAGCGGTCTCAACCTCAAACTGCATTGGTCTTGAATGTACGATCTGAATACAGCTGATGAAGCAGAATCTCTTTTATTAACAAAATATTTAAAAAAAATCTGACAGGTTTCAGATTTTAACGGTCGCCCAAAAGTGTTTGTTAAGGTTTTTAACGTTTTCCCCGAGTTTGCAGTCTATCATTCTGCTGTTACACTCCATTAACCCCCCTTTTTTTTTTGTCTTTTTAACTTTATTATTAAGCATTATTTTCTTCGCACTTACACCATATACAATTCAACAACAAAATTACAAAAATTTTAAAAGCAGCATAGAAAAATTTTTACGTTTAGAATACGTTCAGAAGCCCAAAGGGCTGGTAGCCCAGAGGTGCTATTAGTCTCAAAATGGCATTTTGTGGCGTTTCACTATAAACGGATAGTCACTTTTTAACTTATTACCATCAAATATTATCGTCTTATATCATATTTAAAGAAATTAAATAATGAAGAATCTGCATGAATGTACATATGTTTCTGGCATTGTGAAAAAAAGACAGTACTTAGACCACTCAAATTTTGAATAACGTAATCCCCCACCCGAACATGGGTTCATGGAAGCCCGAATTTTGAATTTCGAATTTGTTTTATTATATCTTTCATATTTTCTAAAACTTTAACGAATTTTTGAATAACGCTTTCAAAGCGAGCAATCGCAACACAGGACGAAAATAATAATAATAATTATTATAATAATAAATTATTTCCAGGCCGGAAACTGTGTAGTGGAAATCCTAACGATATGCTGTGTTTAAATATTTTTTGATATTGCTGTTGAATTGAATTTTAGGTTATTTAAGTGCGATGAAAATGATATTTGATAAATAAAGATAACACACAAAACGTTAAAAAAAACGCCCCTTCGGGCGCAATACAAAAGCTTTCAGATTAAGATTCTTTTTTAAAATGTTTCAGTGTTTTGTCACTTCATCATATCAATATTCAGTTTTCGTGCTAAGATGTCTCTATAAAACTTTTTTTTTCTCTTTTTATTATTGACGTTTTATGTGTTAACTTTATTTATTAAATATCATGTTTTTCGGGGTTACGCAACATAAAATTCGATTCAACAGCAAAATCAGAAAATACTTACCTTTAGAATTCCGATACAGAGACTCGCGCTAGAGGTAATTTTTTGCCCCGTAGAGTTTTGCCACTGCTCGCTTTGAAATCGTTTAGTCTGTTAATCAAAAGTTCGTTAAGAGTTTACAAAATATGAAGCAGTTGTTAGAAACATATTCGAAATTCAAAATTGGGGCTTCCATGTTCCAATGTTCCGGTGGAGGACTACGTTATTCAGAATTTGAATGTTTTAGGTACCGCTGTTTTGTCTGAATGCGAGGA